ACACTGAAGTGAAAATAATTAGTCTACTAAATTATAAAGAAATATTTTGATATAGCCTTAAAGTCATAATAACTCTTCGTTTTGGCCAAAAATACAATTTTCCTGGAAAAAACGGCAATTTTCCCGTACTTACCAATGGTCGATGACCCCATTCCTGCATTCAAAGTTAATCCAGGGTTTTTTTCCTAAACGTACGGTTTTTTGTTAAAATCTCTTAAGATCTGCTTAAAATCTCTTAAGAGATTTTAACTGACGGAGCCCTCTCGTATCGAGCGATAGTTTCTGGTGACCTACTTAAAACCGCGGGAAAAGCAGACAACAACAACACTATATAACAATATTATAAGATTCATAAGATATATTCGTCTTTTTGCTCAAAATGCATTTATATCTACAATGTGTGCAATTCTGGGCTTTTCGTTATCCGACGCACTGTACAAAAACTCCCAACTTACGTCTGAGGGTTTCCCGCCATGTTATTTTGGTCTCGAATGAACGCGAGAATCCGCGTGACACCTAAACGTCATTGGCAACGGATGCACTTGTCGACCGCGAAGAAAGGCATCGAAAGCCCAAGTGACAAGCACAGATTTTCGTTTTACTACAATAACAGTTGTTTTAGTGGGAAAATGCAATAGAATATATTTCCAGGCGTTGTTTACAATGTATTTCTTGAGGAATTTTGAATCTCAAAGGAAGAGTTATTATTGCTTTAACTACAAGAATTAAGCTGCTTATGATGATTGTGTATATCTACTCTGCCTCATAGTTTCTGTTGCATGTTGTAAATCCTTTATCTGCCTCATTTCTTAAAAAAATACTTTTTTTTGTTTGCTCAATGTGTTTTTCTTTCAATTGAGTGTTTTGAATTATTAATTGTATGCAAGTGTAAACCTATATTTACTTTTAAGAATCAGTAAAAAAGTGAAAATTGGGCATCTATTTATCCACAAATAAATTACATATGTTGGGCTTCATTTATTTCCAAGAACTTGGCACAATAATCATGATATAAAGAGATAAAACTTAAACTCTTTAGTATAAATTTTTTAAGCTAGTTAAAAACAAACATAGATCCATGCTTTATTTGTAAATTGTTCAAAACCCAATTTTAACCCGTGATTCATTATTTTTCCTACCAAGCCCTTATTTTAATGTTGTTGTTCCAGTTCTCTGACTTTAGAGCTGGATAATCTGTCTCTCAGTGCCACACATGCAATGGGTGCTCAGGCCAGTAGGTATAGCAGGTACACTAATGATGGCAACCCAACCAGAGAGGAGAGGAGGTAAGTGTCTCTACCCAATACTAGAAGGCATGCAGTATGTAGTAATTAAGCCTTTGTATAGCTAATAGAAAATATGTCATCAGGATGTCCTATCCAAAACTGTTGAGAAAATTATGATTTGTAGTTTAAGCTTGTGAGCTGTTGATTTCCAAGTTTTAATGTACACTGCCAAAATTTTTACACACACTGGGTAGCAGTGATGAAAGGAGGTATGTTTATTTGTTGTCATTTCACACTGTAAACTGATTTGAGACCCATCTTTTGTCGTTGTGCATAGGATTATGTTAGATAGTTTGTGGGATTTTTTTCAGGTTCTCTTTAGGTACATTGATGATAAAATTGATTGATCTTTGCTACTTCTAAAACTCAATATGAAATTTAATTATATAATATTCAAGATTTATTTTGGGGCTGTTTTCAAATGAATTTTATTAATTTTTTACTACAATAGAGCTACTCCTGCAAAGAATCAGCAGCAGACAACGCTACAACAAGGGCAAGGTCATGGCAGTGTGCCAGGATTAGGGTCTCTCACAGGTTTAGGTCAAGGTCCTGGGCCAGGTCAAAGTTCAGGAGCCAGAGTGACACCTGTAGAAAATGCTGGTGGTATGTTGAAATTAAATACTGCTTTGATGTAGCATAGTGAAATTTGTGAATCATGCTATTTTGCAAAATTTACAGAACAAACAGCTATGTGGTAGTGAGATTTAGTGTTGCTCAGAAGTGTCAGATAACAGTTGGAAGGTGCGTGTAGGACATTGATGATTTTTCAAAAGAAAAGAAAATGCAATCCTTTCAATAGAAAAACAGTAACGAGAAGCTGTTGCTTTCCAAAAATCTGATAATACATAACATAAAAATGATTTGTAGAAAGTTTGCTCTTAAATGCTTTAAAAGCCTCTGCAAACTGTCAAAAGCAGTAGTTTTTATTTATGAAATATCAACAGTCATTGTTGACTTGGTGATATGTAAGCATGAGCCGAGCTATAAACACAGAAAGTGTGAACCAAGCATAGTTAGACATTTTATTAAAATTTTTTTACAAGACAAAAATGCTTCTCATAATAGTAGCATTATTATATTTTTTACAGGTTCTTCCCCACCCTTGTTAAAGAGAGGTGGTCCAACTGGTGTTTCAGGTGCCCTTCATACACACCAGGACTACTTGAGCAGAGGCGGTCACTTAAAGCTGTCACCAGCAGCCACTGCACCTACACAGGTGGTTAGTCCAGCTGCTGGCAGGTAGGTTGACTAGACACTAAAATTCAGGGTACTGAAGGTGAGGCTGCTGTATCTACTCTCATCCTCACACACACACACACACACACACACATTGTTTAATCGTTGTCTGTGGGTTTTTTTCAGTTGTTTCTCTCACTGTTGTCTGAATTGTGGAAATTTGTACTTACAGTGAAACAAACACTTCAACTCCACCTAGAGCAGCCAAACCTTTATCTATGGCGACAACATGGAATATTTTCGGTGTGCCACAAGCCAGTCAGAGTCCAGCAAGTGCAAAAAAATGGTCCCATACAAAGCTTTGGTGATAAGTACATAGAAGCATCCAAATTTTCAAAAGTAGTCCCATTAAAAACTATGGTATGCTGTGGAGACTAGTGATATCTATTTGTTGCAAGAGGGTAACAAGCTCAGCTGTTGGAAGGTGAATGTAGGAAATTGATGAATTTCATGAAAGAAAAGAACACTTTAATCCTTTGGATAACAAAACAGCTACTGACACTTTCCAAAAAATTTTATCATATATATCAAAAAAGTGATTTGTAGAAAGTTGGCACTAATAAGCTTTAAAAGCTAACTCTGCAGGAAAGGGAAGTTTGTGAAAAAGTGCTAGCATGCCAGAGTCAACAGCTGTGATGGAAAGCACAATTATGGATAATTTTATCATAAACATTATTGTTGAAAAATACACATAAATCCCTTTAAGCATCTTTATCATGTAGACTTAGCATTCGTGAAAAAGAAACTTGTCTAAAATACAAAAAGAAAGTTTTTAAAATTTAAATAACAATGTTAAAACATACTATTCACCACTTTACAGATACTTACAAAATTGCTGCGCGCATGCGTGAGAATTGCATTGTGGGAAAAAATAGAGCAAAACAAAAACGGCGAGTATCCGAATAATGGAGAATAACCTCGACGATCACACACTCTGGTCCATGATTGAGAGATGGAACAATAAATTGAGAATTGACATATTGATTGAACTTGGCAGTTGTAAAATTAGTGGGAAATTACCTTTCTCGATACCTTCTATCATTTCTGCAACTTGAAACACAGCAGGTAGTCATTATTTTGTGTTCAAGAGCCTTCGCGCCAAGAGTTCACACTCTTTTTTTCCCCCACAATGCAGTTCGAGTTTCCTGTCGACGTACAAATGTAAAGTGATGAATGGCAAAACTATTTATTAAGTCATAGCTAGGACACAAAAACTAGCAAGTGCGCAGATTCTTGGTAACAAAGATTCTTGGTAACAGCATTTTTTTGCCTGGAAATATATCCAAGCATGTGGTTTGGTTTAGAAACAAGTTGTCAATCAATACCTCAGTAATACTACTTCCCTTGCTGCAATTGGCATATGACATTCCCAGTGAAAGTTGGAAAAAAAAACTTTTTATCTAGACATAATTATGAATGGCTAAGTGCCTGTAAGGCATGTCAGTGTAGTCTCACAGTGTACAGTACCTACAGTGGTTGTTGTTTTTATATACCTGGTTGTATTGTAATTATGTAGTAAACTTTAGGGAGCATTCAGAACGAGCTGATCTGTGGACTAGCGGATCAATTATGGCCGACCCACTTGAAAGCTTGCCGCATAATCCCCTAATAGACACTGAATAGATTCCCGGTGGGGTTTACGCAGCAAGCTTTCAAGTGGTTCAGCTATATTTGATCTGTAGGTCTGCGGATCAACTTTGGTTGTGAATGCTGATCAGTACAGTAACTGTAATCTCAGAGACTGTCAAGTATGGTTGGAACAGGGTGCTGTCAGANCAGAAGTATAAATATAATTTTCATGGAAGCAAAATAAATGTATGAGTTAAAAAACCCACGATACAAAACATATTTATTTAAATTTGCTTGGAAATTTCCATTGATTCCTATGTAAATATGATAAAAATCGATGTTCAAGCAGCCCTGGCTCAAAAACAAGCATGGTGTGGTACATATTTTTTTGTAAATTTCTTTGAGGTCTACCAAGATCTATAACATATCCACATAAAATTAAAATCGCTAGGGCAGAATTTTTTATTTTTGCATTTTTCAGCAAAATTAAGGGCATTTTGGCAAAATCCCCATATAACGCAATGTAATAAACGTAGCGTTTTTCGGGACGCCACCTCTCGAAAACGAGCGTGGTGACCCCCAATTTTTTTTTCATATTTTTTACTCATATGGTGAGAAGATTTTGTCTTACAATTTTAATCAAAATCGCTAGGGCAGAAATATGAAATCTGAAATATGAGAGAGCGTCCTTAAACTAACAGGAAGTCGAGTAACATTTTGTTTATCATGAAAACATGGAATGTTTTATTTTTTACATTCACACCGTTAATGATACAGAATTGGATGATTAAAAATTAATATTTTAAAATTTTCTAATGAGTGTTAGTTTAAAAAGTAGTGTATCAAACACCTGAATTTGGTCATAAATACCGTTCCGCTATGCGGTGTAAATAGAAAATCATATAGTTAGTTTTATCCTAGTTGACCGATTTAAACTGAGTGAACACGTGAACATTTAATGACCCGAAGTGAGTCTGCAAAAACCTTTGTATAAATTGTGGACCACAAATTACTTTCGGTCCATGTTCCTGTTAACGTCTGTTCACGTTGGTGTGTGAAGCACTCATACTGTGAAATGTTGGGGAGAACACTGAAAATTCTTCGTGCGGCCGAGGCTCATCTGGTGCAAATGCATCAGTTTGGAAATGTCAAAAAACTTTCCACGAAAGTTTCCGAGCAGTTAAATCAGCTTGCCTTCTTTGACGATGAATCCCAAGCATCAGGACAAGTTGCTCAAAGTTTCAAAGGGATGGATCCAGATTTTCCTTGTGCTACTAAAAAGTGAGCAAATTTTAAAGATCTGCCATTTATTGCTCTTTACGACTCTAAAATCCAAGTTTATAACTCCCGCTTGATATTACTTCACTACAATGCTTCTTTTGTTTTATAGTTATACTTAGTACAATGTAACATGATTACATAATTATATAAAAGCAGGAATATGCTCATTAGTCCTTTATAGGATGTCAAAATTACATCAGATATTTTAAGGAAACGTCTTCCTTATCACACCTGGATCTACATACGAACGTGTAAGAAACGAAAATCTTTGGATAAGTCTCAAATGGGCAAAGGAAGTAATGATTGGATTTTAGTGATGATCTATTGATTAATTTATTAATCAATGATTACATTTTCAGGACAGGTCACAAGTGGGCAAGTTTCATGAAATTTTCAGGTTAGGTCAGAAATGGACAATTAAGGGAAGAATTGGTTAGATTTTGATGATGATCACTCAATTTATTATTGTCTTGGCAGTGCTTTTCTTATATTAGAATGTTATATGGGCTGAAATAGTCAGCTTAATTGAATTACACACCTTGGTATTGATAAGAATACAGAAATGCTGGTGATTATGGAAGTACGTTGAAAACAAGAGGAGGTGTGTCATTCATTTAAGCTGATTGCACTTAGCAGAGTCCCTGCAGAGTTGGAGCTATCTACGAAGAGCTACTTGTATGGCATGTATGGGAATGGGGTCTTAGGGACCATTCATATGAAAAATCTAAAAATCTGAATACCCCATGGCCTAATTACTGGCAGCGCAAGCCAGTTATTTCCAAAGCTGTAATTATTTCTCGGCTGCGCTCGGAGGAGATTCTGACACTTTGACGAATGCGCAGTAGTATTTCTAAGCTGTGGAGTTCATCAGTTTAGTTGTGATGACTCAAGCATACAGACACGTAATATGGCTAATGGTATTGCTTGTTGTTGCACAAAATCGACAAACACATTTTTCAAAGCAACTGGGACCACCATTTTCTTTCTAACTTCTTACTGCGCATGCGTCAAGGTATGAGAATCTCCTCCGAGTGCAGCCAAGAATTAATTACAGCTTTGGAAGTAACTCTCTCGCTCTGCTAGTTAATTACGCAGCGGGGTATTCAGGGCACATACCGTGATCACTAGATACCGCCAAATGGATTTTTAGATTTTTAGAAAATAGATTTTTCATATGAACGGTCCCTTAGACTCTGGTGTCCCAAAGTGTCAGCAGCTAGGGTGAAAGGTTTGAATTGACACAGAGTGCAGCATTATAACATTCACAAACACTGCTGGTGACTGTTTCATTCAAGTGCGAAAAGGTAAACGACCACATTTTGGGCACATCTAAAGGTCTTTTAAGTTTGGTGTTTACTTTATACCTACTAGTCATAAAAATGATTATTTAGCAAGCTTTAAAAACCAAGAAAAGGTGCGCTGTTTTGCACTTCTTGCTGCACCATGGATATCTGTTTTAAATTCATCCATGATTATGCAGTGCAAAAGAAGTAGCTTTTTTTTTTTGAGCCATCAGTATGCTTTACAGACAAGAAAAACGTGTTTAAATTTTTTGCCACCTGAGTTTTTTATCTCATGACTAATATAGTACTACACGATTACATCTGAACATGTGAATAGTACAGCTGCATGACCTTTGTATCTTCACCAATATTTGTGTTAATGACAAGCAACTTTATGAATGACAGAAAAGATTAAAGAAGGTTTTGCCACATGACCCTTACTTAAATAAGGTACACTTGAAACTGTTACCTTTTAGCACCTTTTGAAATGTTTTTTTTTTTTTTTAAGTGGTATAATGAAACCAATTTGAAATAAAGTTTTTAAACAGATTCTATTGAAAACAATGATTGCAAGCTGAGCATGTTTCAGACATCACAAGCAACATTACCATGTGCATTTGTAAGTTTCCTAAGACTGTTTGACACAAAACGTACTTTGTTGGAAATTTCATGGATGGTGACATTACTAATAATCAATGGTAATTGACAACAGAATATATAAAAAACTTTCACTATGCAATTTTTTTCAAATATGTGAGGTGTAAAGTAATGGGTTGAATGATATTTTAAAAATATAATCAAGAAAGTAAAATTTTACTCCAAGGCATATTGAAGAAGATCAGTTCAAGGAACAGACTATAAATAAAGTACAAAGTCTGTGAATTGATTGTAGTTATACGCATGTAAATGGTATTACATTATATGATCCCAATTTGTCTTTTCAGATAATTTTTAAGATTAACTAAATTTTCATTAATTTCAGCCCCTCAGCTGGTCCAGAGCCCGAGTATGACAATGTGGTCTCAGGTTTCAAACTTTACCACCATCAAGAGCCGTTCTATTTCAAGTATAATGATGCTGTGTTACCAGAGCTGGAAATTGCCTACGAAACATGGGGAGAACTCAATGAAAGTAGAGACAATGCTGTCGTAGTACATGCTGGGCTGTCAGCTAGTTCTCATGCAAAAAGTCACAAGGTACTTTGTTAGGTGTTTTGTAGCAGGAATTCTAAGGTTTCAACAAAAACAGTTTCAATTCTTTGTACTGTTACTTATTTGATCATGCTAGTGACCCATCAGTTACTGTTGGAAGTTTTTGTGATGAGACCTTGTAATAACATTGTTCAGAAGTAAAATTAGAATGTCTAACAGTCCAAATAAACTCACAAGATATAACAGAAGAAGTTTTGCTTGGAATATTGAAATAATAAATTTAAAAGGCATTGGCAGATTGTATAAATGTTGTATTTGTTTAAATTGACTTGAGTAAAAAGTAAGTGGCATTTGTTGTTCGCATGCAACCTTTGTGGGACTTTTCTCAGTGTAAGTATATGTATGTATTTTGGGCAGTTAATATACATATACATAAGGATATTAGAAAATCATGAAAGCCCAGTCTGTTTTCAGTGTGATAGGTCATCTGGCTTTATTTCTGGCTTTATTTCAGTCAGGGCAAAATAATCAATTCAGATGTAGTTTAATCATACATAGTTTACAGACGTGTCAAAATAGAGCAACTATTTCAGTGTGTTATAAAAAGCATGCTTGTTTATAATAATTTTATAATGCCATGACTTGAAAACATCTCAACTACATGTTTGTACAATGAGTCCATTTGCCCCTTATTTCCCTTGTTGTGTTTGTGTTTATATGTTATGCTTATAAATTCCTATAACTATGAAATTTTAGACAAGCACAAGCTGCTTATCAAGTTTAATACCAGTTTATTTGCCTGAGGTGCTCTACTTACAGGTCATGTCAACTAAGGTAATCCCCTATAGTCGTAGGTTGATATAGATACACTAATATCAACAATAGTTCCATAATTCCAGATAACAGGAAATGTTCTTGTGTAGTATCTGGCCCTTATTTCAGGACAATCCGAAGCCTGGTTGGTGGGAGAAATTTGTTGGACCTGGCTGTGCCATTGATACCAATAAGTTCTTTGTTATCTGCACTAACACTTTAGGGGGATGTTATGGAACCAGGTAACAAGCTAGTGTGCTGCTGTCAAATAAATTAGTTCAGCATGGTGATGGGTGCTTAAGTTGAATGATGCAATACTTACCATGATATTAAAATACAGCATGTTTAACTCGAGACATTTTGACTAATGAAAAAACTACAGTGAGAATCTTCATATAAATATGCCTGATTCTATTCTCATAAATATATGTAAATCTGAAGCTTTTTAACATGCAGATTATTGTCAAAAAACCAATTAACCTTTGCATCACATGTGAAGAACATTCCTGTATATCTTTTATTAATTTTTTTCCAGTGGACCCTCATCTGTTAATCCTGTCACTGGTAAGGTAAGAAAAATTCCTGCAAAATAGCTAATTTCTGTTTTTCTTCATCAATGTAGTTTCATTCATTCTTCTTTAGTTGTTTAATCTCAGAAAATTTGTAGAAAATTAAAGATCAAAGTATAGATACAAAAAGACACTAATATATTTTTAGAATATAAAAAGTAAACAGTATTACAATATAATTTTCAGCGGTATGCTACAACTTTCCCAGTAGTCTGTGTAGATGATATGGTACAAGTACAGTGGCTACTGTTGAATCACCTTGGAATCACGAAGGTAAGGAGAGAGAGAGATAAAGAGGGAGAGAAAGAGAAAGTTATGATCATACTATTGGTTTAGGTGAACTAAATTGCATGTTGAATAATTCTGTTCACTCATGCATGGTTTGTTTTTTTCCAGTTGCATGCTTCTGTTGGATCTTCCTTAGGTGGGATGTGTAGTCTTACAGCTGCTGTACAGCAACCAGAAAGGGTAGGGAGGTGAGAAATAACTGAATACATCAGTTGTGCTTAGTGGTCATCCAATTTTATCATCATTTTCACAAGTCTAGAGTAGACTTTTCCCATTTTCCCAGACCCCCTCTCCCACCCCTTTCAGAGGGTACAAGGCTAAAAATGATGACCTTTGACAGCAATTGGGATAATCTTTTTTGTTATATTTCAAAAGTGTACAGAGGGCATTAACCCCATCCTCTCCAGCATGCAGTTTGTATACTGTGAAAATAGTGATTAAAATAGATGACCCCAGAGACACATAAGGTCAAACTAGGTGAAGCATTTCAACAAAAACAACTTTGTAACAAAACATGTTAGCTCAACTGTCTCAAAATGTGTCCTATAAAGATATCATTAATTACATTTAGCTCTGATTTGTTTGTGGTATGGAAAATATCAATAAATGTTAAGCATAAAAGAAAGGTGATGAAGGAAATGTAAATTAAATGTTTTTTTTTTTCAGGTTGATCTCAATATCATCTTGTGGGCAGTCCCATGCCTCTTCCATAGCTCTGCGCTACCTTCAGAGGAAAACAATCATGACAGACCCAGATTGGAATAAGGGCTTCTATTATGAAGGCAAATATCCTAGAACAGGAATGAAGATGGCAAGGTGCTTTAATTTGTCATGAATAAAACATAATTTTGGCCCATGCTTTAGTCCATGACTACTGTTGAGTACACCAATTAAAGTAAAGGAAACATGTCATCAATCAGACAACAAAAAGAATAGTGTTATGGTGGTTAACTGGGAAAGTGCAATTTTAGATGGTACCTTGCAGGATGTTGATATAAGATTCAAGTTTTAGAATGCATAATAAAAGGGTTATTGGCTATGGCTTTGGGTTAATATGTTGTCTGGAGACCTCATGTAAAGTCAAGAATTGAATGATACCTTTCCTCCCTAGGGAGATTGCCACACTGGGATACCGTAGTGGACCAGAATGGGGCAAGAGATTTGGGAGGAAGATGCTTAACCCAGGGAAGCCAAGCCTTTGCCCAACGTTCCTCATAGAGAGTTACCTGGACTACCAAGGGGAGAGCTTCTGTACGAAGTATGATCCTAACTCTTTGCTGTACATTTCAAAGGTTGGTGAAATGTTTTGTTTTTGTTTTTGTTTTTTTCTGTTGTTTTAAGATGAGTTTTTATAAGTTCAATTACAGAGCTTTACCAGATTATAATGGAGGGAAGCAATCATTGACAGTCCACTATCTCAAGATATCCAGATATTATAATTAACCTCCCTTTCATAGGTAAAATGCAATTTATGACATTGCTACGTGTTGTTATCAATGTATTCATTGTGGAATTTTGAATCTCACAGGAAGAGTTGTTATCCTTTTAAACTGTTGCTCACTAGGTGGAAAGTTGTATCTGATGTTTTTGTATAATGAGTCTATAGTATACATATGTTTGTGTGGTACAGAATGTTATATGTATTTGTTTTGCAGGCTATGGACCTGTTTGATGTGGGCGAAGACTATGGAGGCAATGTCCAAACAGCCCTGTCCAGGATTGAATGTCCAGTCATGGTCATTGGTGTGAAAACGGACATTCTATTTCCAATCTGGCAGCAGAGGGAGCTAGCATGCAATTTGAAGGAAGCTGGTATGTTTTATAAACTGAAAACTGTTGTGAAAAGTATTATACATTTTAAATGAACTTTGTATCAAAAAGAAAAGTGCAAAGTCAAAAAAAAAAAAATGATATACAATGTAGGTTTGTTCAAAGCCAAAAAAATAACTAATAATTGTCTTTTTGTACATGATCAGAATAAATACTAGCATTATAGCATATCATATTAATTAAATAAATTCAATTAATTTCATTTTCAAACTGATGAGAAATTTATTTAAGAGGCAAAGTGTACAATTTTAAACATGATACTTATCATATTTTATATCTATTAGGCAACAACGCTGTGACCTTTTATGAATTAGATTCCATTTATGGTCATGACACATTCCTACTTGATCTGAATGGTGTTGGGTCTGCAGTAAAGGTAACAACAATATATATGAATTTTGTGGCATGAATCATTGCTAAATAATCATCTTATATATTTTAAGGTTAATATGGTGTAAATTTTCCTCATGGAATACTGCCTCAATTCAAGTGCATGTAACTGAATTAATTTCATTTTTATCAGGGATTTCTTGAGACAGAATTAGCAGAAAAGGGAAGAGCTCGACCACAGAAAGATTTGGATAACGCAGTGCAGTGACTTAAAAATTGGACTAGCACATTCGTATCTGTTTACAACAAGAGTGAAAAGTGAACATGGATTTCCAGAATTCTAACAGCTTTCTCCCCCAACTGTAACTGTCACAACAGTGGCAAATAGGGGCTTGATATCCAGACAGCCATGAACCCAAATGGCAGACATGGCTACCCAACACAAGTGCATGCAGCATACAAGGTTTATGGACTTAAATGAGAAGGCAACTAATTCATTACCATAGACTTGAGTGTACCAATGACGTAAAAAAAGCCTTTAGGTAGGCAGAAAACATGTTTAACAATAAATATGCAAACAAGCTAAACGATGATAAGGGGCCTATTGTTTAGGGTTACTGGTGCTAGGAATATTGAATGGAGATGGGGATTTTTAAATATGAATTTACATTGTATTTTCACATGAGAAGTAATATTTTGTAATACTTTTTCAATTGAGTGGGTTAAGCTTTAAGGCAGGTTTGCCTATTTTTTTTTTTTTTTCATTTATTTTTGTGGATCCTTTATGTGAAAGGTCATCATATTGCACCCTTTTTGGTAAGTACAGATTTTAAAGCTTCTGCAATGAAAAAACCTAAGAATTATTTATTCTCAAATAATACCGATTTTTCAATGTGGAAGGTTGAAAGTGCCAAGTCCATCAGTGTACATTTTTCATCACATTTATGCATCTTTGATCTCGCAAAAATCATTTTCATTGTGTTAATATATGAATAAGTTGTAAACTCTTGAACAACTATTGACATTTCATAATTTTTTTCTTTCTGCGTAAAAAAAGTGCAGTATAATGAATTTCATAAAATGGATAATTGTGTGGGCTTTTCCCCCTAAAGATGCCCAATTCATTTTCTTTGAGTATTATTTATTTATATCATAAAGACAAGTTCCATCATTCAAAAAGTAAATTAAAGTACAAGGTAGACATATTAAACTATACACTATACGTTACCCTATTGTAAAATTAGTGGTCTCAACAGTAAATACAAAAAAAAAAAAAAAAAAAAATCAAGATTTTTTTTTAAAAACATTCCATTATGCCCCTTTAAAGCACACTTAGTAAAATGTTTTTATAAATCTGTTTATTGACAAATTGCATGATAGTTGCAAAATATTCTTTATTTTTTTCAATGTTTAGAGACATCATACTTTAAACATTTCAAATAATGTATTTATTTATAAATGTTCATAGGTCATGTTCATATAAATATATTTATCACATTTATCATCCATTCAGAAGTTAATCACTCACAAGTGTGTTTGTGAATAAGTAGGTATGTTATTATCATTGTTTGTTTAAATATTTATTTTGCAGTTTCTTTTTCACTGCACAGTATTGATAATAGCAATAAATGCCAATAATTATGCATATTCAGCTTTTGGCTCAACATGTGAATATATTAAAGATGAATTACATATTGCAATGTTCTATATCATATAACTTGTTTATGTTTTCATATAAACACCTGGAGCAAAGAATATCTTGCTGTACTGAGACCCAAACTTCCAGGTTTTCAATTACAATAAAAATGTTCAATAAACACATTTTGTGTAGTGTTATTGCCAAAACCAACCAAATGGCTATGGATTATTGCCTTGAAATCATTCTTTTTTTTCTTTAATGAAATACAATAATCTTGTTTTTTTTATGCATATGTTTCAATTTCAAAAATCATGCTAAATAAAATAAATATTCATAAATTTTTAAAAGTAGAAAAAAATGATTTTAATGTCATAATGACAATTTTATTTATTACAGTTTTTTTTATAAGCTTGTATGCTGAATGTTAACCCTCAAATCTCAATGCAGCATTAATTTTTCATCCAGTTCGCTGTGGCCATTTTCCTGACAATGTCTCCATGCTGGGGATATTTTTGTAGTAAGTCCACACCTTTCTCCTCACTAGTGCTCCAGTCGCCCATGACAAAAGCTGAAAAATGGATTAAGAAATGTAATATGTTAAGTAATAATCTACCAGGGTCACAAATTGATTTTTCACTTGATATTCACAAATATGGCTCTGGCTAATCCATGACACTTTTCTCTGCAGTAAGCTAAGTGAGTTAACCTGTAGCCCTGGTAGAGGATACCTTTAAGTAGACTTTTACTTAACTACGCATTAATTGCTTTTAAATGAACTAATATCAAATATGTGAAGTAAAAGGGTAAGCTTTAACTGTACAAAATGGCCATGTTCCTGGACCTTTTAAAAGTAATATTAGATAAAGAGAATCACCTGGAGCTAGAACTGCCCCAAAGAATACAGCTTCCGATGTGTCCATCAGTTCAAAGGCGTACCATGTCCCATGGTGGACCAGCACCTGGTAGTTTGCCTCACTGTGGGACAGAGTGTCGCCCAAAATCTTGTTGGAATAATTTCCATCTTCATCAAGGAAGTGAAACTGGAATTAAAGAAGACATCTATGTGTGATAATGTTAAGACACTTATTTGCTATGAGATATTAAGTTAGTTGATGCCTTTTTTCTTACATAAATGTGCACGCACAAACAGACACACACACACACTCTGTGACATGCTAACATCCACACCTAAACATATATAGAAATATAGATAAAGAATATCATATTTATTCCCATCTCATATATACTCAATCTCTTTCAAAATATAAATAATGTTGCTCATTTATGAAGTGTGTGTTACTTTAAAATATACATGCAATTGGTGGCAATTTCTTCTGATTATGTTAATATTACCTTTATAGCACCTCCTCCATGATAAATGAGCAGTTCATCAGACTTGTGGATATGCCATGCCAGGCCATTATTGCCCGCCTTTAAAACCATATAAATAGAAGAGCCTGCTTGACGCTTGCCTTCATGACTGCAAAAATAAGATAAAAATTGACTTCACGTTGTTGAATCATTAATCTGAAAGGACACAATCTTTTTTATTGAAAAGTTGTCTAATGTGTGTTTTAGTTTGAAAGCCATCTCATATTTTTCATTATTTTAAAAACAGTTCTATAATCATTATGTCTGTAGACATGTAAATGAATAAATCAAGATAAAAGTTTTAAAATCATAGTACATGTGCCATATTCTTCATTTCTGATGTATGTATTCATATTTTTTTGTTTATCTTTTATTAATATAAAATAAATAAGTCCCTTCCTTTGGAAAATTAAAATAAACTAAAAAAAGCACTTTAAGAATACACACTTTCCCAAGGACAGCTCAATTCTCATTATTAATTGATTTATTTATGGATCACCACTGAAATTTGGTTATAAGTTACCCCATTTCCAACTTATCCTGAAAATGTCATCAAAGAGATGGACACAGAAACAAAAACATATAATAACCTCCAAACATGGAGGTTACAACTGCAAACCAATGGTAATTTGTAACCCTGTGTTATCTGTACCTTCCATTTGTGACTGTCACAGAGTGCTCTGTTCTCCACACTTCACTAAAGAATCCACCTCGACACACAGGGTGCGGAGCCAGTTGTAACTTTGATGCGATCAGTTCCATCATCTCTGTATCAAACCTAGATGAAATATTAATGAACAAAGATCAATGAATTGTTTTTTTTATCACAGAGGATTTAGGGAAAACAGTTACTTGTCAATGATCAATTCAAGGTTTTTTTAATATTTCTGCAACAAGTTGGAAGATACTTAATGAGGAAAATTTCACCTTGATTTCTTAATACATAATATATAAATTGTCCTTTGGTTTAATTTACTATGCCATATCCTAATTCTTTTTCTAATTCATCTAAAGATATAATTCACACCAGAAATAGTACGAATTTCTGGACACTTAAAACAAAATTAAGAAACTATCTTTAATAAATAATTATATATAATGACCCTTTAAAATTCCTATACTACTTATGCCCACAGCTAGGGGAAACAAAAAGCCATTGTTTGACAAAATTTATATATTTCAGAAAATGAAATCAGAAGAATAATTCAATTTTTTCAATTGAATTTCCTCACTTTTCTGGTCGGACAAGAACACTGTTCATAAAATCTGAAGAAGCCCTGTTAGTAGTGGCTAAAGCCTCAATAATGTCTTTATGCTGGGGGAACAATGGCACCAGTCCTCCCTCTGGTGGTGCTGACCAATCTTTGAACTCGAAACCTGCAGAACAAGAAAAAATATTTTTAAATAACAAGAATAACTAGAAAAGCACAGACCTCTGCAAGATCAGTTTAATTATAAATTAATTGACTAATGGACACCTGTCAAAATCTACTTGATTCTAAGTTAGACCATTTACCAAACAAAGCTACTCAGTGAATTTAGAGTAAAACAAAAATACAGTTTGGAAGTTATGGGGTGAACATCAACAAAATTGTGCAAAAAAAAAAAATAAATAAAAATAAAAAAAAAAAAAAAAAAACAATAATTACTGTAAATGTAAACTTATCATGCTGATTTTCGAATGCAACCTGCCCCCTTTACCAAACAATTAAAGCCACTCGGTCAACCTAAAGTAAAACAAAAATATGGTTTGGCAGTTATGGGGCTAACAACATGTGTCAGACAGCAACAGAGACAACATGGGTCACGGAAAGACCAATCAGAATTTATAGTGTCTGTATATAAAAACCAATGCTTGTTATGAAATTTACTAACCTGGTGCCACTACTTCACTATAGAAGGCATATTGCAGTTTGTCAGTCAGTTCATAAGCAAACCAAGAACCATGTGGAATAACAACTTGGAAATCTGCTTCTTCATTCGTCAAGGTGTTGCCTAGCAACTTACTTTGGTATTTGCCATCTGGGAGTATAAGGTGGATCTAAATATTACAAAACAGAAAAAGCTATTTTATCTTTTCAAACAATCATTTTTATTTTGTGATAGGAAATAAACTACACCCTGGAGATGATTAAATTAAGCAGTCTAAAATGCTATTGCAATCATTTGAAATCATTGAAAATTTCACCTTTAAAGGAACACCATGGTGAAAGAAAAGAACTTCATCCGACTTTAATTTATGCCATGTCATCTTTTCCTCTCCACTCAACAGAAGGTATATAGAGGTTCCCGCCCTTCTGGTTTCATCACCAAATCTTCAGAAGAAAAGAAAACAGTTTCAAGGAGCTGATTAATTGTTTGACATTTAGTTGAGAAGTACATGTGGTATAAAGAGATTCTTGATTATATATACAGAACTATAGTATATCATGAATGAAACCGTGTTGCATCCTCATCAGAAAGGCTTTACATGATCCATCAGTGACAAGCAAAATCATCCATAATGAAAATGCAATTATTTGTAAAATTAAACGTATACATGAGTAAGAGAATTTTTTTCAAGAAAAATTCACTTCAGATAGGATATACCTTTAAAAATATTAATTTTAGTATGCACTTACTCTCCAGTGTCCACTTTGACCATATGTTCTGTAAACCAGGTACATTTAATCATTCCAGTGACTGAGTGAGGCTCAAAGCCCATACTTGTGGCAAACGTTGACAAGTTCATTCTAAAAATAAAGTAAACAACTGAAAACAATTAATTCTTCATTATCAAGAATAACCTGGTGTCATAAAGGGTGTTACATATATTTTCAAGTAAGACAGAAATATAGACATATATAATAATAATTTGATAAAATAATTTGTTTGTTATAATTCAGAAGTGGGTGACATTCTGTAGTTTACATATATAATAATTTTAATGCTTAGGGATTATTTGTTAGGCAACATCTCTTTGGTTTTAAGATCCCCTTGTTTGCTGCATGCATGATGTATGAATATTTGGCCACTGATGTCCAATGTTTGCCTAAAATAAATGTGCATGTGTGTACAGGTAATATTTGTACAGTGTACATGTAGCTGCACCAGAATGTACTCTTTTCCTCACAACCATAGTTACAAATTAATTTAGCCACCACCCTAAACTTCAGGAGTTTTGTGTAGAAATAAGTCTATCAGCATTGGGCCTTTTTGATTTTTTTCCCTGCCATATGTAAAATTAAAAAAAAAAGTGCGTTTGCTACAGCAATTAAATGAAGTCTTTGAGGGCTTGCTTTGCAACATTGTTACATGTACAGGAACATTGCACAAAATTGTTTGATATACAGACGTTCACAATGTTCTTTAGAAAATGCTTTTAATGAATAAGCTAATAAATATGAACTGTCTTCTTTAGCCGCAAGTAAAAGAAGATGGACCTTTCAGTGCCGCTCCGCGTCCTGAGGTTACCCACATGTGGACTGTTTACACGTTATCCCATTCTAGGTCACCTATTTTAACGGGCTGTTTTTTTTATTGGTTTTTGATTGGTCTACACAAAACGGTGTCATGATATACCACAATTATGGATAAAAGCTTACTTGATTGTGAAAGATATCCAGGGTTTGTTTCTTTAAAAAGAATAGTTAATGATAAATTTATAGTATTTATTTATTTTCTTTATTCACTACTGATATAGTATTCACATATTTGAGACATTTGACGTACAATTGGTATTACTTTTATGGTAATGTCATGTGACTTCGGCGTACGGAGACGAGTATGGAGGGAACATTCAAAAGCAATACGACTTTATCAGAAATATTTGTTGATTTTACGGTTTGTACTGTTGCAATTTTTGTAATTCTTTATTTTTCGATTATGATGTTCCATGAAGTAGAGCATAGTTAGCCCCTTGTGCGAGGTTCTTTGTTTATCAATGTATAATTCCTAGAAATTTGTTCCCTGTCATTGTATTCAAATTGTAATGTACATGTACTAATCACTTGGCTTTTTTTCTAATAAAGCCAGAGACTTTAAGTTTGATATACAGATATATGTTTAACTGGCTATGAATTAAGTTCTCTTTTAGATCAAAAGTTCTTCGGGTGACACCGTGCATGTCCTTTTTTCAGATGTCACTTCTTAAATCAGACAAAAGTCGCCCCACCTGATATCTACCCCCTAAATAATGGCATATAGAAACTTGAAATTTGTCACATAATTAAGAAAGGGATCAAGGAATGCATACTTAATTGAAATTTGGTTCTGACCTTTTCCCAGGCAGAGTAAAGTGCATGTGAAGTAGGCAAAGTGAAATAAATTTTGTTCACAGGTGCATGTAATATGGGAAATACAAATTGAGTCAATGTATATTTCGAAGCATATGCAGTAGAACTTGACATAATGTTGGCTTAATGGGGAACAATGGGAAGGAGGTGACAGAAAAATTAAAACAAATGTATTTCCCTAAATTTCCAAAAAAATCTGACATGCAGGTTAAAAGCTCAAGTCATTGTTCTTATAATATACATGGAATATATTTTGTTTTGCAGCAATTTGCCAATATTTGAATTAAATGAACAAGTTTGTTCTTTTAAATTTATATATTCATCCTTTCCTAGATCATCAAGATATTGCCCAAGTGGTAGTACTAGCTGTTATTAGCCATTTGTTAACTCTGGTCGGTTGACTATGCAGTATTTATATCCTTAGTTACGAAGCACCATGACATGTAAAATTAAAAGAAAGCTGATACTCTAGGGATGCTTTTTGTGTGAAGAACAACCAGCGCCACATTTAATCATCTGCAATACCAACTAATATGTGGTGTTTTGACTTGTTAAGTTGTATACAATGTCTTACTGAGTAGTTACGTTTCTTGTCCCAATAATAATGGTTTGAGTATCAGGAGAGAGAAGTGCATAAATTAGACAGCAGAGTTGCTCAGTTACTTGAGATACTGGGTTCTCATCCAGGCTATGGGCCTTCTGTGGTTGACATATGATGATGTGATCAAACTTTGTCCTGTCTGACTAGTGCAGTTGAACCATGCTTCCACGTTCTTTTCTATTTGTTTATTTTATTTTATTTTTCTTTCCTTATATTTACAAATGGATACTTTTATTAGGAAATGATTGATTAACTGCAAATAAGTAAACACTGGATAAACCCAGGTTGCATATATAGTGTGTGTGTTTTTTTTTTTACCTTATTCTGTTGAAAATGCAACATTTGAAAGTTAAATTTTATAACTAAATAATTATGATAATAACAAGAATGATTTATCACATGGACGATAATACTTTTTGTTAGTAATAATTCATTTCTAAAAAGTTGAAAACTTCTGCCATGTAAAACTACGGAAAATGGCTTTTATGTCCTGATTTCTTTTTAGGTTGGCTATGAGATATGAGCAGAGTAGGCAGACAAGCGGTAACAAGAGGGGGAAGAGGAGGACAACCACTTGGGTCAAGGGTTAAAGCTCAACCTGTGCCTGGTGGGTCAAGGGTTAAACAAAATCCTCCACTTGAAGATAAAACTAATCTGAGAGAACCCATGGCAGATAGAGGAGGTGAGTGATTTCATATATGTAATGTTAGCTCTTGATATCAATGTTTCAGGAAAATTATCAGAAGTTGCAATTTACTTTGCTGTACTTCCACAGGTTTAGTTGTGTACCTTATTGTATTAGCTTGCAACTGGTGTGTTTTCAATAAAATGATTCAATATACTAATAAAGGGTCCATTCCCATGAAACTATTATTCCACATAGATTGATTTTTAACTCCCTGGGAAAACCTCTGAATGCAATCAATTGGAAACGAGGAGTCCTGTCATTCAGTTAAGCTGATTGTGTTCAGCAAAAGTCTCCCCAGAGTTCGATTGATCTACATAGAGCGATAGTTTCATTGGAAATTGGTCTTAACATGTATCAAGATAAACAGCATGTTGTATGTAATTACTATTCTAACATTTAGGTCAGCCTGGGGTCAGGTACATTACAGATGACCTCATCAGGAGAGTGACCAAAGAGCAGCACCTGGACCAGGTCACTGTCCTCAACCTGACTCTGTCAAAGGAAGGAGGGAAGAAAATAAAAGTATGTTTTAAAAAGATGCATTTGATTTTTTTCTCTCATTTGTTTGCATGTTGTTGTCATGAGATAATCTAGTGTTCAGATTTTTGTAGAAATGATCACTATGACAGTAACATTTTATGTATATTTATAGCTTTTTGTTATGAATTATTTGTGAAATGTTAGAAAAATGAGTAAATATTGGTATGAGTTAAAATGTTTTATTAAAGTTATTTTTCATACCATTTTTGGTGCATCTATATTTTAACAAAATTTGTGAAAATAATCAATATCATACCTTATTTTACTAAAAGCAAAATTTGATACAAATTCACAAGATCTGTCATTTTTTATCATGTTTCAATTTTATTCCAGTACATAGAAAACTTGGATGGCCTAAGACGCTTACAGGTGCTGAACCTCAGTTGCAACATGATTGAAAAAATGGAAAAGTTGGAGAAACTTACAAAATTACGAGAACTCAACCTATCTTTTAACCGGATTTCAAAGATAGAAGGGATAGAGACACTAGCAGCCCTTCAGGTTTTGAATTTGACTGGAAACAACATAGAATCACTACCTCACTGGCTTGGAAAGAAGTTGAGATCTCTGAGAGTGATTAGATTAGCGAAGAACAAACTGCAGTCTGTAAGTTCCATCTAGTATGAAAAAGACTGGATTTATCAGGGCTCGACACTAACGACTCTTCAAGACTGGCAAACACTCAGTTAGAACAGGTGAAGTTTCAGGGTGGGCTGTCCGATGAACAGGTCATGTTTTATGAGTATTTTTGATCAAAAATCTTGAAAACAAATCATTTTCATTGCATGCTGCACTTCCTGACACTGTCATTTGTTTATAATTATAAATGAATAGCCCTAGCCAGTTACAGGTTCTATTAATAGACAAGTTAGTGTCCAGCCCTGTTTATTGCTTATCTTTGATAAACGACTTGATAGGTCAGCTTTGCAATTTATGCCCTTTCTTCTTATGGATATGTTTAATTTTAAAATCATCTTATATCTTCCTGGGGAGCATACAGTCTGAGCAGTAATATATGAGGCACTCAGAATAAGTAACTGCAATTACCATGCTCTGTCTTGACTAATTGTTGAAACAACCTGCTTTTTAAGTCACTCATAAGTATTCTAGGATATTTTGGTGGTTTCTTACTAGTACTTAACCTGAAATTCTTTAATGTGGATAAAAATGTTTTCTTCAGCTTATAATTGTTATTATTATTAGCTTTTATTGTTATTTTTTCCTTTTATTTATTTATATATTTTGATTTTAATTTTGTTTTATTTTTGACTCTGGGCTGTCAAGTTGGATATTGTTATTTGATGCTTATGTTAAGCCAAAATGAAGAGTAGGTCATACTATACTAGCTAGTGTTTGTCAGAATAGCCTCCACAGTAATTCACAAGCAGTGGTCATTGGGTGAGCATTTCACCTTAATCTTATGGGAATATTAGGTTTTATGACTCCAAGGGCCTTCCTGTTCCAGCTAAGTGAACTTGCCAAGCTGAAGAGTCTTCAAGACCTCAGCCAGCTGACTGTGACAGAGAACCCAGTCACTGAGCTGCCTCACGCACATCTTTACCTAATCTTTCATCTGCGGTCACTGGAGGTCTTGGATGGCCAGCAGCTGGACATTGAGGAGAGAGAGGAGGCTGACCAGAGGTTTCAACAAGGTTTGTGTGTCTAGAATGTACGGTAATTACTAGATCTTTTCGATGTGAAAAAATTATCCATGTAGGACACAAACTTATTTGCATGATATGACATCAGTCAGTTTTTATGATATAAAACAACAACCTATTTTATTTTAATAAAATTAAGATTCTAGCTCATTTAGCTCACAGGTGTACACGCAGGCCTGCACAAGGCAGTCATTTTGTCTCTTCCAATGTCCTCATCCCCTTGAAAAAAAAATACTTCTAAATGCCCCAATTTGACTTCAGATGAAATAGAGAATTTAGAAAGGCAGCTGGAGGACACTCAGCGCAGGCTTGAAGAGCTACAAGATGAGCACAACAAGTCTGTACATGAGATACAGGAGAAAGAAAAACAAGAGAGGTCAAGGAAAAAGAAGGCAGGAGCAGCAGAAGAAAAAATAAAGGAGATGGAGAGAGAAATACAAACCAAAGATGATCTGGTAAGTCAGTGGGGTTTTAAGATCAAATTGTGGAAACAGTATGCATGAATTACATCCAGTCAGCATATAAGTAGTCTAGAGGCTTCAGAGACCCTTTTCAGGTTCAGTAAGAGAGCATTTGTTACTGAGGAAAATTAGCAGCACAAGTTATTTTGGTAATTTTGTTTGTGTTCATCTTAGAAGTGAGGCAATGGATAGGAAAAAAATTGTATGGATATCTTGAGGTAACACACCAAGTCAGTTTTAAAACTGCATTATTTCCTTATCTTTCCAGCTGAAAAGGAAGACTGCTGAGCTGACCAAAGCGTGTCAGAAACACTATGAGCTGGAGCAAGAGTTGGCTTTCTTCAAAATTGATGCCAAATTTGAAAATTTGGGGAAAATTCCAACCCCAGGAAATGGGGTGAGTGTATATTTACAGCATTTGAAATGTGAATGAAGTATTTAAAAAAATATGGTTGTAAAATTGTTGTCTAATTTCTCCCAGTTGGGGACAATGTATAATTATATCTTTAATTATTGGTGTTTGACTTTGTACAACTTTATTAAAATAAAAAGCTATTTTGTCAGAATTTTAAATGTTATTTTAAAAAATCATTATGCCCTTTACATCAGTGCCTCAGGTGGTACTTTGAAAGAATAAAAGTGAAAATACAAAACTTATTTTCAGTAAAAATAGCATAAAATGTATCAACACAAAGGTTGCCATAATGTTGGGGATACCAATAGGTTGCAAATCTGATAAAAATTACATGTAAATGTGGCAATTTGGACCTGAAATTGATTCATTTTTGTGTCAGTCTTTCTAAAATTTACTTTGAAAGATTCCCCAGTCACATTCTTGGTTTTGAGGATCTTTTCTCTGTATAGGATGTTGAAGAAAGTGAGCTAGGTGCAGAAAGCCCATACATTGGCAGGGCAAGGTACAAAAGTAATGTGTATGCCTTTGAACGAACCCTTCCCAATGGGTCAAAGCCAGTTAAACTGCACCAGATTCAGCATGATGTGGGGGACTCTGGGATAGATCGTGAAGTCCGTGATAAACTCCACCGGGCTTTAGATAACCAGCTAGGTGACAAGCAAAAAGCCATAGACAGAGGTGAGTGGGAATGAATTAGGAATAAAATACAGATGCTCTTGAGTTATGCATCCATTTATATATATTTATATATTCATTCATCTATTTATTTGATTTTGTTATTTTTGTTATTGTTATTTTTGTATTTGATTTTTTTTCATTGCTAAAGGAGTAATTATTTATAAAAGAAAAGGGATAAGGCTATTTTAAATTATCAAATTTTTTTTTTTTATCTTTTACAGCAATGTTTAGATGTTGGTTTTGTTGTTTCAATGCATATGATTTTTACCAGTTTTGCCATACTTGCCAGTTAAAGTTGAAAACAAAGACTTATTTGAAACTGAAAGTTTCTTTATTTTATGATACAACAAGACACAAGGTTCACTACAACATCAACATGTTAAATGTGACAATTAGTTTTTGAAGGCTAATAATGAAATTTTACAAGAACTAACATTAAAAAAATACCTGCAGTGCTTTACAACTAATGTTATTAGAATATTAATAATACCAATAAAGCAACAAAAAAAATATAAGTGAACAGGGATAAGTGATGTGAACACCATATGGCTTATCTTTGAATTAAGTCAAGAGTGCATTTTTAACATTATATATATATTAGGACAAAATGATTATATCTGACAATTCCATAAATTCCGTAAATTGTACAGGAAATGGAAAAATAAAAATTGATAATCTGTTCACAATGAAACAACCAATACATAAATGAACAGGGGTTAGGGATATGAACTAAACACAATTCAGTTCATCTTTGAATTAAGCCAAGAATACATTTTTGACATTATATATGTATATTAAGGATGAAAATTGTTGACAGTACCATAAATATTGTATGGGGAATGAAAAAAAATCATTTGATATTTTTTTCACAATGAAGCAACCGTTTTTTATTACTAGTACTTGTCTAAAGGACCTGCCATTTCTGTATATAATGTATTATCCTATCTTGGATGTTTTGTGCCAGTTGTAATTTTTTAGCTTGACTGGTCTGTGCACTTGTTACTTGTTTTACAACATTTTCAATTAAATAATTAAGCTCTACTTCTTTCTCAAAGCATAAGACTGCTATTTCATAAGGAAATACTGACACCAGGTACTTTCATTAATTTGTTTTTAAGGTCTGAATTGGGAAAGAGTTATGGCCTTGTGGGATATAAAAACAAAAAATATAACCTTGAAACAGTTTCAGACACTTATAGTATACCTTTAAAATTAATTTTAAAAAATAAATCCACATGATAGTATACCTTCAAAATTAATTTAAAAAAATAAATCCACGTGGTTTTATTTCCCCCTGCAGTTATTTCATATTAACAAAAAGAGTGATAAGTGAGAAAATGGTACAACAGCACAACGAGAACTGACAATTGTTTTCTTATATGAAATTCTGTACTAGGGCATAGAAACATTAAATTTGGTAGAAAAAACATTCTCCTAGTTTTTTTTTTATTAAAATATACCCTTTGCTTAGAAAAATTATTAACTATAAACCTGTTTTCAAGCTTCACATTAATTTTTTATTTTCACAGTTGAAATACACTAGTCTTTGTCTCTAAAAACAAGAAACTGAATTTGGGCTGCCTTATATTTTTTAATCTTTTTTCCTGGGGGAGGGTCTTTGCTCTTGATGTGCTCTTTGGTTATATCATAAAATTATTGCTATTTTAGTTGAGCTGTGCTTCATTTACTTTGAGACTCCAGTGGCATGTCAAATACATTATATCTGTTACGCGGCCATCGTGTTGTTTTTGAAGGCCAGAGAAACTGCCAGCATGAAAATGCCTTGGAGACACCTAAATACAGTGGCCAAGTAGCAAAAGTCTCCAACTGATGCTACAGACAGGCCTACAAAGATCAAGCCCACACAACCAATCAAAGTTACACTAGAGCTCATTGCCACCATCTTGTAGCAAGAATTAATGCTCAGTAAGTCTGGATAAACAGCATATGCAGTTACCTTTCCACATTTGCTATGTGAAGCCAGACGAATACATATCAGAACATTAAGAAATGCAGCCAGTGAGGCTGGTGCCACTACGAGGAGAAGGAAGGATTGGGTACTACCAAAGAAACATGACCCTTGGCAGTAGAGCATTTTTACCGGGACAACATCCCACATGTCTGACACAACTCCAGCCAACACTATCAACAATGGGATTGTATATGTAGTTCCAGTACATGCCAACAGATGTCTCTTTGGGCTTTTGCTCCAAGACAGGCTGGATGTTATGCCATGAAATGCCGTGTAAGACATACTTGTAAGCCATAGAAAACTTACCAGCAATAGGAAATGAGCCGTTGCCATCAGAGCCATGCATGCAGTGCCCTCTTCCAGGGCAATCATTGCTGGCAGGGAGGAGAGTAACTGAACCAAGAAACATATGATTGCGAGATGTATGATCATTCCGTCTGCAATATTCTTACAACCATACTGAATAACATATGTGATTAATTGAACTAGAAATATACCCCATGAAACAGGAGGTAGAACCCAAAATTCAAGAATAGCCATGGAAATTACACTATCAGACTTTGGTATAATTTTGGTTCGATTTATTGTTTCGGGTATGTATTTTAGGAACTCCGCAATACTTTGTTTGCAGATTAATACGTTGTCCTCAAAAATAACAGCTTGACTCCGGTTGATGGTGATTTTTGCTTCAGCATATTCAAAAGAAAAGTTGAAGGCATCATATTGTACATTTGTGACATCTGCCATTGAAACAACAACCGCAGAGCATGGGGAAGTTTCATAATCTACACCATTTGCAAGTTTGAACACCTCACTTATGCTTTCCCAAGATACAGTTTTATATGAAGGGTTATCATTGAGATTGAAAACTTGCATGGCAAAATTTATTTTCTTAGGGCTTTCTGCTATATAAAAATTAGTAAAAAATTCAACATCTGGCAAAATACTGGTTAAATTTTTTCGAAGTGATGCCTCTGCAATTTCGATAGATTCATATGTTGCATGTTCACCTCCTAGTTTTAATGGGAAACTAACTACCATTCCTATTTGTGAGAATGGTTTCACAGAGAATATTGCCTGGCATTCTATATTTGAATTAAGGTCAAATTTTGTTAGTCCTAAATCCATAAAGCTGAAAACTATTTGAGCACAGAACATGCTGTTGGCAAGAACATGAATTGGGATATTCTCATAGTCAGTGAGTGTAAAGAGAATATCAATTCCCATGTATACCCCAGAAAATTGCTGAAGCAATGGTATACAATCCTTCTGCCTCACATCATAGTCAAACCGAGGGGGACAGTCTCTGTTTCCACTGGCACACTGAAAAGAAAGCCAAAATAAAATGAACAACAGAATCCAAATTGGTGGAAGTGTGCTGTCCATGAAGGGTACTTATCAACAGCAACTTTTTTCTGGTAATTTAAATGCACGTAATAGATCTACAGGCCAAGAGTAAGACGGCAAGGCAAAGAATGTTGGTTATAGTGAGACTAAGCCACTTCCGTAGGCCAGTTTTCTTAGTGTAATAAGTCTGTGAATACTGAAGGGAAGACTTTTGCCATGGGTGAAAGTTTTCAGTATTATGTCTGATTTAAGTATTTTAGTCTTCATTTTGATCTTTTTGTTTCATACGGTCTTAATGCCATGAGAAACTGCATGGTACATTTTCAGAATTTTCAGTTTTTACCACTTTCACCCATGCTGTGGCCTGCTTCAACACTTTTGCAGTGTACAACCCTGATTACCTTGAAAATTTTTGTTTAGGATTATATAAATTTTCCTTTTCACTGTGGGAGTTCTTTTCTGTTTCCATAAGCACAAACTAAGTTGACCAATAGTCATGATATTATCGTCAGATAAATGCGTAAGAAGATCCTGTTCTGCTATTCCTTCCTGTTATGACTTATTGTAAATGAGAAACACATGCAAAAGCTAAATGACATTCGTAAAATTTGATTTGAAATTGGTAATTGGTAAAATGAATTCAACAGTAATAAAAATCACTGACTGATGAAGTTCATCTATTCAGGTAGATTAATGAGTAACAAAGAAAGTCAGATAAAATGATAAAAGAGCTGCAATTGAAGTCTTGTTATCATTTAACTTGACAAACTCTGGGTGTAAGTTATAAAATAATTGTAGGCCTTGTTTACACTTTAAATTTTTTGAACTCAGGAGAAAAGTTTAAAAATTACTCCAAATGCAGTCTTGATCACACTGACTACTCGGTGGTGAGTAGTGGTCATATCATTATCATATCATTATAAGCACTACAGTAATTACATGATTTTTTGAATGGGGAAAAATGTGAATTATACGGATACTAAACATTCCTATTGAGTGTTAGCAACAAAATTTGAAAGCAGGCTTCTCTATAGTTTTTTCTGTGCAGTAAAAGCACCACAAATACTATATAGAAATATACTTTTTATGATTAGAAGGTGATGTATCTGAAAGTTTTATCATTTTTGCCCACAGAAAAGACCAAATTATTATGGTTACAACAGGATTCATCCAGTATATGCAATAATACAAGTGTCAAAAATTATACTTCTTTAATGATGCAAGCAGCAGAAGACAAGTGCACATAGCTGACTTATCCCATGTGGCTGGCACTTAGGATAACTACACTTGTATTTCTCTTGGAAAGCGTTGATGCATACACTTCAGGCCTGTAGCCAGCAATTTCAAAGGGGTGTTCTTTTTCTGAAAAATTGGACCTTTTACAATATAATCCTCATGTACCTAGGTCAAATTTTACCCAGAGTAGACCTTTTTCCAGCAAAAAGGGGGGTTCTTTCGAACCCCCCAAACCCCCCTGGCTACGGGCCAGCACTTTTTGTTAGCAAAATACAATTGCAAATATCCTATTGTTCAAAGTGTCGATCATGGGATAAGGGATGTAATAATGAGACCATGCGCATGACCCCATCCTGCTGTAGATCTGTTATCAAGTACAGGGCATCAAACCTTTTTTTTTTTTTTTTTTTTTTTTGTAGTTGTAAAAAACAGCACTTCTACAATTCTACAACTTTTATCTATATTTCACAGAGTGTTTCTGTGCTATTCATTATCATCATTCAAATCATGATTTTCATTATATTAAGTCTCAGTGACTACTATATGATATACCTACCTGGTCAGTGCTGGACTGGAACTGTTGTGAATCTTTGCAGTGGTACTTGCTGTTTTCTTTGTCCAATATTGGGCCAACAGATAGAAGTGAGGAGAATGCTACGACGGGACTGAACTCGTATCCAAAATCTCCTGTCCTTGTTTTTTCTGAAATGTGAATGATAACTTAAATTTAATAGCTCTTCCAGAAGAAGCTGCTATAAAGATTGAAAAAAAGATTGTTTTGAGAAAGAGAGAGAGAATTTCATTCACATTATTAAGGATGGTAAAAAAAAAATTAAAAAATTACATGTTTTATTAATATAAAGGAGCTCAGTTTTTGTCCCTCAGTAAAGTAAAAACTAAAGTCAAACTGATTATCAAATGGGTTCATTCTCAATGCAACTATTGTTCTATGTAGATCGATCCAACTCCATGTGGACTCTCACCGAATGCAATCAGTTTAACAGATTGAGATGCCTCTTGTTTCCAACATACTCTCATGATCACCAGCTTTTCTGTATTCTACTTTGTGCCAAGTGGAGTCGTATTCATCTGATTGCATTCAGCAAGATCCCTTGCAGAGTATATTTGATCTATATAGAATGATAGTGTCATTGGAAATGAGCCCTATCTCTTTCAGAACTGATGTTAAACACATAAAAGACTGCTTTTGTTTACCATTATTCCCGCAGCTATATGTACTATTGTAGAAAACGCCTTCAAAACAGAGAAAACAGAAAAAGTTTTTAAAGAGTGTTCCATCCACATTCACAATATTGATTGGTCCTTCAAGACACAGATCCTCCAACACTTCATATGGTATTTCAACACCATTCCACTGAAGACTGGAAAAATACTTCCACACTGGTAGCTGCATGATCTTAGCTTCGTTTTCTTCAGTCATGCACAGTCGCATGGCCAAGTCTGTTGATGCAAAATAGTTGACGAAGCAATCTGAGTCGGCTTGTAAAACTTCTCGAATGACTTCATCTGAGGTGGACATGTTTTGGAATTTCAGTGGGCTTTGGGTTGCGCAGCCAAAAGTGGCATTCCAGGGATCAATGTCTGAGATATTGTGGCATTGTGAACAGAATATGTTCTTGAATGAGAGTCCAGACTCTCTGTGGTACACAGGGGTAAAATGTAAGGTAAGGTCAGTCATGTTGGAACTGTTACTTTCACACTTCATTCGAATGCCTTCATCCCGCCAACTCTCTGGGCATGTCGAGACAAACCAAAAATAGGGATGATTGATCTGTTCCTGTTTCTCTGCCAATGGAGGCAACTGGCATTTCATGTGAGCTAGGGTGAGATTAAAGTTGATATTTTGCTGCACATGGTTTGAACCACATTTTTGCTCCTTTGGCCAACAACAATCATTAAACATGTGGCAGAATCTGTCACATGAACATTGAATTTGGAAAAGCCTCTCTGCATAAAAATCACTGGCTAGACAGAGTAGTACATTTGGTTTTGGAACATCGATGGCCTTGGCAATCTCAGTTAGACTCTTATTGGCCTCAAGGGTAGGTACTGTTGCAACTTCATTATTTTGATATTCATTTGTTGCAGTGCCTTGAAACTCAGTCAATTCATGGTTTAGTAAATGACGTCGAAACCTGCCAGTTATCCATTGTTCAGAAAAATTCGAATTATGGATTTGGTGTCTTTTGGTAAGACCTCTTACCCTTGATCTTGTTTTGGCCTCCTCAGGTTTGGTGTCTGCATTTCTGGTGTTTACAAGAAACTCTTTCTTGTCTTTCATTAAAGACCGATTTCCCTTTTTTGTGGCGTTCAATTCTGATGTTGGCTTTGAGCTCTCTTCGATGCTTTTTGAATGATAAAGTATAACTGTTACAAGGAGAAAAACTGCAGCAAAATCTTTAAATTTCCCCATTGGAAAATTTCCCGATGAAAGTAGAAACCCTGGCCTTGTTTTTCTCTAGACACCAAAAAAAATTCAATTTGCTTGGTCTGAACGGTTAGCAAATTTGAAATGAGGAGGAGCAACTGCCGCTCTTTAAATAGTTTTTGGCAGCATACTTTTGACGTTGAAACAGCCAAAAATAACAACTGCAATTAGTTGTTTTTCACTTATTTTGCTTCACCAAAGGTTAATTATCTTGGTTGTTAAATTGCTGGCACTAGACTTGAAAGACTTCGCAAGAGTCCACTAAGTTCTTAAGAAGAGTTCATAAGAAGACTGAAAAATAATTTTCAATTTTTGCAAAAATTCTGATTATTGAATACTTTACCTGATCCACTCAATCTTTTAATTTTTCTTCTTGTCCAGTTTGAATATAATAGTATGATCAGGATATCAGGTTCTTTTTTGTTCATATTTTTGGCAATATCAGGATTGGATTGAGACCGTCTTCTGGGTCTCCCAAAGGACGGTCAGATTTTCAAGTTATCATCGATAGGTATCTAATTTTTTCTGTCAGAAGACACTCGAATTTGGAGGATGGATCAACAAAGATAATTTGGAAGACTGTCAGAAAATAGCTCTGGATCCGCCCCTGAATATTCTTATTCCCCCCCCCCCTCCCCCCAAGATTGTGGAAGGGAAATAGCTTGTGGACACCTTTGTTGATATTAAATAGTTTATGCAGGTTATGACTTATTAATTGTTGGGCGTAAGTTTTTGTTTGTATTATTATATTGTTTATACCTATATCATCAATAAACTGGGCTGCCCAAAGGCAACTCCCACATGCACCGAAAATAGTTTTTACCTATCAGCAACATATTTTTAATGAGCACAATTATATAATAACAATTTTCAATCGTATTAATTTTCATTTTGTACTTTTATTTGTATAAATATGACAATAAATTAAACTATAACTATTATTATTATTATTATCTACAGTCAACTGAGCTGCAGTGTTTGTACTTGCTATTCATCCAATGAAATTCTTAATTTTGGTTAAAGCTGTTCTTTGCCAGGTTGGCATAAGGGGTATGCTTTGTTATATTTCCTATTTTTGCAATACTAAGCAATAAAATGAATATGTCCTCTTATTTTTAATCATTTATTTATTTAGCCCCATTCTTTCTTCATGATGTTTTTTTTTTCATCTGATGCATATGCGTGATAAATCATAAAGTGGTCAGTGCCTGACAGGAAATTCATGAAGTACTAGAAAATTAAATTCTCATAACATCTACAGTCAACAGGTTGAAAATGCTGAATTCTTTCAAGTGAAAGCCAATGAGTGTTGAAACTGTTGAATTCTTTCAAGTGAAAGGTAATCAGTGTCACTTAGTCTGTTTGATTTTCATTGGCATCTGATTGCATAAAATGTGACGACAGGACAATTAAATAGAGACAAATACCTCCCACAGGGGGTTGGCACATGCTGGTTATATTTAGAAATAATGTGTATTTGTGGTTCAACTGAAAGTTCCATGGGTTTGGTCTGAAAATACCAATTTTCTGCTAACATTTACATTTTGCTTACTGTGTACTGCAAACTCCCATGTGTCCTTATATATTATCAAGATCATGACAAGTCACATTTAGGGTTCCCCTGAACTGATGATTACTTGATTTGGTGTTAATAAGTGCACTATTAGCAAGGTTTCCTTTTATTTATTTATTTATTTATTTATTTATTTATTTATTTATTTATTTATTTACTACTCCAATATATGATTTAATACGTACATTATTATGGTCATTTAATAGAAATTAAATACAGTTTGCCACAGACAAGAAGTTTCAGGTCTGTATATATTGTAATAACTAACATGTGCTGTGCCATTTTTTTTTATCATAATTATATGATACTATTGAAAAGTATAGAAATCCACATTATGGTGCTAAGACATGTCCATTTTATTTCATTTTTCAGCCCAGGAGAGACTTAGAAAACTTGCAGCAGACCTTGAGCTGACAGAGCAGCAGGTGCTCAGGGCCACACAAGAGTTACACCGTATAGCAGCCGCCGCGCAGCGCCCTCTGTCCGAGCAAGACAAGCAAGAGATACGACAGAAGCTGAGCAAAAAGATGATGACTGTGAGTTGTTCATACTTATAATAAAGTCTTCCTTGCACTCATACACTCATACACTAAGGTCTCTGAATACTCCATTTATTGACTGATAAATATCTGTCAGGTTTCAGTCCTCTGCAGTAATGAGTCCAATGCTGTTGACTAAAATGGTTACATGATTATCTTTTTATTGTGATAAAACAGTTATTATATACCAGGCTGCATATGACATCCAATAAACAATTCAAGACAATACATTATGCGGATGTGACTGAACATTCTTAACAAGAGGAAAATTCAGTTAATTAATATCTTTGTTAAATAATGTCTTTTTTACATGGGATAGGTCAACCAACTTAGAGACTCTGCCTCTCAGATGGAAGATGATATGCAGCATACTCAAGAGGAAGTGGAACAACAGAAAGAGGAGATCAGAAGGCTGAGAGAACAACTGAAGAAACTAGACAGCAAGGATGTGTTATATGTTAGCTATGATTTAACTATACATTTGAATTTTTAAAAAATAGCCTTGGCAAGATGCAAATTAGCACCTTTTATAGGTTAATTTCAGTTGGCACCTCACTTTGTTACTTTTCACAACTGCTTGGATTTTGATTTCAAATGTGACTTCATATTAATATTTATATCCAGAGCTATTTATCAATGTTAGATCCAGTATTGGGCAGAGATGAGAAAACCATTTTTGATCTAAATAAAAATACTTTCAGTGTTAATTATAAGGAGGATATTTTAATTTTTATTCATACTTTCATTCATTCATCCACTTCTTCATTCAGAACCAGGTGAAGGCAGAAATGGCAGACAAGGAGCAACAGCTCCAGCAGAGGACCCAGATGTATCACGACCTACAGAACCAGCTGGAAGACATGCTGGCGAGAATAGCCAAGGAGCAAGCTGAGATTAAGAGACTTGAACAGCAGTTAAAGGAAGGCAAGTTAAATTTATTTGCAAAATTCAGTATTGCGTGTTCCAGAAAAAAAAGTACAGATTTTTCTGTTAAAAAAAATATTATAGATGACAGGACACTTAAACAGTGGTAAATTGATAACTGTAATGTAAGGAATTATTGGAGAAAAAGATGTTTGTGTTATTATGATAAAAAGTTACCTTTGTCGCTGATTTTAGCTAACTATGACTCCTTTTTCATCATTTGTTTTGCAGCTGTACATGCATGAGCAAGATAATGACATAATTTTTAACAAGCTTATATTAATTTTTAAACAGTTTTTAAGAAACCTGGAACATAATATAAACTTGTATTTCAATGCTTTGATATACAAGAAAAAGTATTCTTTAATAATAAATGTATATAATTTTTGAACTCAGGTCCAGTCAGTTTTTTCACAGCACAATTACATAATCTCAATTACAGTTTTTCTCTCAATGATTCCAGGCCAAGCCACGCAGAATGAAGAGATCAAAGCTGAGCTGGAGGACGTCATTAGTGGCCTCCAGGACTATCTGACCAGTGTGAAGAGGAACGCTGAGAGCCAGCAGCAGGAGGTGGATGACCTAATGCTGGAGAGAGAAGAGCTGTTAAAAAGGCTGCAAGACATGGAGAATGAGATGAGCATCATGGACTCAGAAGCTGGAGATTATAGGAAATTGGCTAAGGTGTGTATGAAGACATAGTGATAATTGTTTGTTTTTATGATCTTGTTCCACATTTTTATATATTTTTTTTAATCATTTATAAATGACATTTGATTACATCAAATAAATAACACTGGTAAAAATTAATGTTGTTTAAAAAAGTATAACTTTTAAAAGTGCAGGATGCATTAATGATAGCTGTTTAATCTGTATAATTTTCATTAAGGACCTAAAAACATACTTATTACAAGGATCTGTAAGTAAACCTTGTATTTTCTTAGAAGGTTTAGAACTGTGAAACAAAAGTCAAATTTATCTGTGAATTTTATTCCCAACTTTCCTACATGATACAACTAAAACTTTCTCAAAAGGTAAAGCAAAAAAAAAAGTAAAAGCCTACATTGGGGGCATCAGGTGATATTCTTCACTTTTATCAATAAAATGATCCCTCATTCTACAGAGATTGAGAGAGTTAGAGGAGTCACTACAGGCACAGCAAGACATCAACGCCACTCTTCAGCAACAGCTTGACCAGAGTGTTGGACCCCTGGACAATACTACTGCAGAAGATCTTGACCGCGCACAGCGACAGATAGATGAGCTGAGAAAGACACTGATGAATGAAAAGAAGAAAGCTGATGTGAGTTCTTCAGAAATGTACTGATTTCTGATTTAAAAAGACTGTTTTACCTACATAGAAATTATGAACAGCTCTTACTTGGTTGGTGGTAATGATATATTAAAGTAATGAGAAATATGAGAGAAAAACTGTTATGCCGTGGGCATACAGTGCATGTAAAACCTTAATATAAAAATATTTTTTCTTGAACATTTCAGCAGTTTTCCTTTTTTGGCCAACTTAGGTAAAATAGGTTTTGATAATTTAGGTTTTGGGAAGTGGTACATGTTTACAATTTTGAGAAAAAGGAATTGAAATATTCACGGAAATTAAATACTTGCTATATGTTTGTCTAATAGGGTTCCTTTAACTTTTTCTGTCAGGCTGAAAGACGTGCTATGGAGGATGCTATGGCCAATGAGAGGGAACAGCTACAAGCTTTACTGGCAGAGGCCACTGCAGGGAGAGAAGACACTGGAGAACTCAGTAGACTGGCTGCCCAGCTGGCAGCTTTACAGGTAAAATAATCCATTGGGTTTTTGCTATTGTCGATAAAAAAGTTTGTAAGGTTGGAATCAGAGAATTAAGTTGAGGAAAAGGGTCTTAGAGTACTAACAGGCTGGCCCTTGGCTTGCATTTGTACATGCAAATAAGTCAGTTTTCAGTTTTGGTAAAGTTTCTGTTAAGAAATTAAAAATTATTTCCTTCAGAATGAAGGTATTTAGCTTACAATTTCAATTTCAAAAATGCTAAAATAATTAAGAAAGAATATTTTTCATTCAAAGCATTTTTTGACCTTTTATTTATTGAATTTTTATTATGTGTAAAAGGAGTCCATTTCTCACACTTGAAAACTTTTCCTACCCACCAAGTAGAAGTTGAAATGAAGTTAGATATTTAGACATTATGGAAATACAGAATTTTTAAAATCATAAGTACATCTTCAACTCAAATAGAAGGATATTTCTCACTTTTGACATTTTTTCCCTCTTCCCTCCCCCAGGCAGACAACCAGGCACTCAGAAGCAGGATGAGAGACCAAGAGAGGGCAGCACAGGACAGGCTCCAGGAGACCATCTCCCCTGATGATCTGTATCAGAGGTTGCAGGAGGTCATAGCTCAGTTAGACAGGGGACAGGTAAAGTTGACTTCCCAATTGCTATTTTCTTTCTCACAAACACACAGAGAGAGCAGCATGGGTACAAGTACAGTGACCTTAGTATTACTAAATGTATGAAAAAGACTTGTCAAAATTCATCATTTTGAATATTTTGACTCCATCAATTTGATCACTGAAAAATTATTGGACAGTTTTAGATAATTTTACCTATTAGACAGATTTTCCCCCTCTTAATTGATTTTTTAAAAAGAGATTTCATGAAATTTGTTATCGTGTATTTGGTAGTAGTATATTTTGCTAGAATGTTTGCCTAAATATAATTATTTTAGCCTCCCAGAGAGAGTGAAATTCAAGATGATATAGGTGGCGTTCTGGCAGATTTACAGCAGTACTTACAAGAGAGACTTGATCAGCAGAACAGAGAAGCAAAGGATGCCAAGAGGAGCCAAATCAAGGTTCTTTTTCAATTTTGCACTATCACAATAGTCAGTTGTGCTTGTTGAATAATCCATGCAAAATTGTTTTAATGTCTGTAAAAGTTTCAAAGTTTATAATCTCCATTAGAATAGATGTTGTAACGCATTTAAATTGAAAAACAAACTAATAGCAATGTTCAGGTGCAACTTACCCACAGTCTGATTAGACCTGGTGGACTTCTTCATTATCAGAAACTCTGCTGGGAGGCCAGACTAGAAAAAAATATTGTAAAACTCATTTAGAGAACATTATCATCTTAATTTTAGGCAGAGGCAGAGGTGAATATTTTGAAAGACAGACTGAAGAAATTAGAAGACCAGCTTAGAAAAGAAAAGGATAAAGCTGCCAAGCTTAAGGTATGGAAGAATTTTATTTTAATACTTTCACTTAGCAAGTATATGTTATTGCCTGTGTAAATGCTCCCAAAGCAAGAGATCTTTGTTGTCATGCCAAGTATCTACATATTTTGATTCAAATTAGTTGATTCCAAAAAAAAAGTTCCATTTTTAACTGCAAGTAAAATTTATGGAAAAAAAAAGTTGTAGGTTAAGCTAGGTATTTTAGATGGAGGTCAGTGTATGCCTTTGTTTTTAAGGTCTCTCTCCATGCCTTCGTTTTTAAGATCTCTCTCTATACCTTGAATATTGCAGGCTGACAAGAAGAAAAAGGAGAGAGATTCAGAAATAGATAAATTGCATGACGAGTTGGCACGACTGAAGGATGCCCTCAAAGCAGCACAGTCCACCCCCAAACAGGTAATTTTCATCATTGCCATAACTATGATATTTTTAGATGTACAACTTGTTTATTGTATTTCTGAAGACAACAATATGTTATTTTTACCAGAATTAAAAAAAATGCAAGCATAACATTATTGTACATCACAAATCAATGTGGACTCTTTTGTAGATGAGTAACATAGAAAATGGTGTCATTTTAGGAGATGGGTCAAGTATACTTTTGAAGAAAAATATAAAATTTATTTTTCTACTTTTCCAACCTGCACATTTTTTTCTATTTAGATTTGCCATATTCTAGTTAGATTTGCCATATTATTATTATTATCATAACATTTTTTTCAAGTGAGTTTTATGGTATTTTTTTCTAGTCTGGCCTCCCAGCAGAGTTCCTCCAGCCTACTCCAAGGTATGACACAAGCACAGAGGCCCCCAGCTTTCAAGATTCTCTCACCACGGAAGAGAAGGCCATGTTTGACCAGCTTCAGAAAGAACTGGCAGAACTCAGAAAACAAATGGCTGAGGCAGACAGCAATGCTGCCAAGAAAGTGTGTGAACAGTTTTGAAGATTTCCCCTTGGTTACTCTGATTAATGTGACAGTGACTTTGGAGATTTTTGGCAAGACTTAAATAGGTTTACTTAAATAAGTGCATGGTTTGCATGTGTGTTTGCTTCCTAAAAGTTTTACACATATGTTTGCATCTAAATAAGTAAATTAAAAGTTAAATAGTAATGTCATCAAAGATGGGGATATAAAAGCACTCAATTTGTAAATTGGATAGCAACAGTGGTAAAAGAGAAATACTAAACCAGTTTCTTTTATTTATTTATTTGTTTGTTTTTTAGCTTCAGGATGCCAATCAGCAGATTTCTCAGCTACAAAATGAACTTAGGCAAAAGGAACAAGAAAAGAGAAGACTGTCTCAGAGGGTAAAATGGGGATTCTTATGTCAGTTAGCTTAGTGGTATTCATGTGTATTCAATGTGTATTTAAAATGTGATAAGTTGTTTTTGTGTGCTTACTTAGCACATGTTTTGTGTATATGTGTGTGCAGGTGTGTCACTGTTTTCAGGCCTTTCCTGTAAAATTTATATGTCAGAAAAGAAGTGTATATAGGTATGACTGATTTTTGTCAAGTCCATGTGTATATTACAACTACAGGCTTACCCAAAAGATAAATTCAATTATAGATTTGAATAAATGGATAAATTAAGTAAATAAATAGGTAAAAGGTTTTTAAAAAATAGGCAGAAAAAGGGTGAAATTGAAGATTGTCTTTATTTTCCTACAGAAGCCTCCAGATGACCCGCGAGTGAGACAGCTGGCCAATGAACTGGTCCAGACCCAGGGGGAGCTGGACCTTCTGCAACAACTCCTGGCAGACAAGGACAAAGAAATCCAAGATGAAATGAAGAAGTCCACCAGGTCTAATCAGACTGTGGGTAAGTTGCACCTGAACATTGCTATTTGTTTGTTTTTCAATTTAAATAGGTGAAAGTATCAGGTTGCCCTTTTAATTTGAATAGTAAGGCCTTTTTTTAGGATTTTAGGATGGTGAAATCATAGTTAAAAGCAATCCAGCTTGATACAGTATTTTCTTCCCTCTATTTTCTTATGTACGGTAGTTCTGATACCTTATTTAAGCTGGTTCTTTATAAGCATAGTCGGGCTATTTTTTTCACAATCCATTGTAAATGAATAGTAAAATAGTAAATTGAAATATATACTATCTAAAATACTTGAACATATGTTTTTAGCTGCCCAGCAGGAAGAGATCACAGGATTACATGACATTCTAGAGGCACAGAGAGATGAAATATTACGTCTGAATGATCTGCTGGACAGACTGACCGGTGGACCACAAACAGGTGAAACACATAATAAACTTCAGATGTATTGATTTGAATATCTAAGTATTCATAAATCCAGTTATGTTATTTTCGTTCCATCATTCAAATTTGATTTTAAAAAAGATTCGGGCCCTATTATTTGATGCAATTTTTTTTCTTGAAAATATATACCATACAGGTTCTTATATTTACTCTGTGCACCTGTCTTATATAAGTAGAGTACACATTTTATATGGAATTATGCACCATGTAAGTTTTCATTTACTTAAAGGTCCAGGCTATGATGAGGAACTCCAGAGGCTATCAGATGAACTGAACAATTTAAGGAACAAACTCTACCAACAGAGACCACAAATCCAGGGTCTGGGCACCCCCCAACGAGGCCCTCAACCTACACAGGTTATAGCACACACAGGGAAATATTTCAATAATTGGCAGAATAAAATCTTCCATCTTTCTTTTGTTTTAACAGAAGCTTCCCAGACATTCTAATGTCCCATGTGTGCGTTTTTTCTGTCATTTTTTCTTTTAATTGTTTTCTTTTAATTTTTTAACCTACACTGTCACAATTTACTTGGTTTTTCAGCCCATGCCTGTTGGGACAGGATCTCCACAGTTTGATCCGTACTCAGCACGATCTGGAAGATTCTATTCTCCTGCACCTGGGGGAAGAGGGATGCCTGAAAGGCAATATCCTCAAGGTATGTATACATATTAAAATATCATTTTTTCTGTTTCTTTGTATTATATTTAGATGCTTGAAATTTGTTTTTTAATTATGACTTCTTTCTCTGTATCTCATAATAAGATCTTTGTTGTATATTTGAAATTAGATATAATTGTTATTTTGATATTTTAGATAAGTTTTTTGTAAAAATGGTAAGAATTGATGAATTAACATTATGTGATACAGCCCTATAACCACATAACAAGTTTTGGTTGAAAAACATACATGGATATCAAAATTTCATCCATTAACATTATGATATGTATATCTTTTCAGGTGAAGGTGGTGGAGATGGTGGTGGGCACCCTTCAGGCACTGGACCTGGATCGACCTTCATTCCAGGTCAAGGTCAAAGGGTGACCTTTGGTCCAGGTAGTCCAGGAGCTACATATATTGTCAGAGATCAGCCTTCATTGGCAGGTCAAGGTCAATTGTATGTACCTGTCTCACAAGCTGGGGTCAGTGGAGGTCAAGGTCAAGTAGGGGGTCAAGGTGTAGCTTATGTTCCTGTAGGTCACCCAATAGCAGTGCATCCATCTGGACCAGTGCAATATGTCCCAGTAACTCCTGGTCCTGGGCAACCACCTGGTATGCTATTACCACTTTACCCTGTATATTCATTATTGGTGTTGGTGGCGTAGTAATATATACTTTGAGTTTTTAAACTTGCTTTCCCTCTCCTTGTGATTACTTTTAAAGAGGATTTCATGTTTATTTTATAATGCTTATATAAAGGAATGATTTAAGTTTTACAAATGCCATCACAGATCTTGGTAAAATGACACCATATCTGCATCAGTTTTAACAGATATGTGAATTGTTGTAGCTTCTCTTTTAATGCAAAAATTCTTCAAGACAGATCCATAAATTCAATAAATGTGGAGAAAAGAGAATGTTGCATTCAATGATATACTGTGTTGTGATGTACAGGTAACTGTACTTAGATTCAACATCATTTCAGGAGATGGCCAGAAGATGGCAGCAGTGAATCTACCAGGACAAGAAGTGCTTTTCTGTAATGTGCCCGAGCACCATGACATGGTAATAGTTTGCCTTAATTCATATTTTTATAAATGAAAATGGACACAGTTTTGGTCACCAGTGTTGCACTGGCATTTTGCAAAGGAACAAATAAAATTAAGACAAGTAAACATGTAGAAATAATGATATCATTGCTTCATTTTTACCATTTTTACAGGAGGATTACATTGCACAGTTGCAGGAGAAGATTAAAGAATTAAAACAGAAAATAAAGGTACTAATAAAGAGAAAAACATATTCCTTAGGCTTACTCCTGTTAAACTGCTGTTCAGCAGTTATTTTAAAGGAAGCAAAATAAATTATTTGACTTAGCTTTGCACCTTATTTAATAATTTAGTTTGCAGAGGGTTAAATTTCATGTTTGACACTGGTTTCTCCACCCTTAAGCTTTTTTTTATCATTTTCAGAAACTGGAAAAGAGAGAGACTTTATCAGCAGAAGCAGAGAGGAGCGCAGTGAAAAGACTGAGAGCTGAATTGGAGGTATAAACAGGGTAACATCTATGATACATAGAATGAGTATTTTTTCTGTTTTAAATTTTATGTTAACCAGCTTGTCTGTCTGTCACTTTTCATTAGATGCACTTACTCAGAAACATTAATTCTGATAATATTTATGGGACAGTTAAGTAGAATTAAATATATCATAGATACTTTTAAAATAGACCTATTTGATTTCTGCTGTGTTTAAGGAATTCAATGCATATTGAACCTTAATGTAGCAATAAAAATTAATATATAATGATAATTTTTCTGGATATTTCATTCCTTAATTACCAAGGAAGGTATATCCTATCAAAAACCTGTTGGCAAAAAACACCTTATTATAAACTTGAAACTCACTAAAAGTGTATAGAACACATCATAATATTGTTTATTGTTTTGAATATGGTAAACCTTGGCAATTAATAATAATTGATAAGTGTTAAAATTTCCAGGAAAACTAATATTTACTATATATATGTTTCACACCCATGTTCTGTCTTTAGGATCGGCGTGATGAGTTGGAGGGATTGGATCTTGCAATGGAGAGACAAAAAGCCTCCCTACGCCACATGAAGGAGGTGGAAGAAAAGTTGAAGGAGGAAAGGGAAGGAGCCCTGAAGGAACTGGAAGAACTCAAGAAAACTAATGCCAAAACCAATAGAAGAAGGTCAGTTTATGTATATGTCACAGGATAGTTAGTCATTCAGTAGAATCACAGATCTTATTATTAATTGATGGAAGAACCCATCTTACAACCTTTTGTGTCATGTTTATTAGCATTATTAAATGACTGCTATTGTATGTAATTTCCATATGTATTTTTGTGCCATACTTAAAGTTTCAAGTGATTGGGCCTTAAATTTTAAGTTAAATTCAGTAAAAGATATGCATTCTTATATTGTATTTTCAGAGAATTCCTGGAGGGACGTTCACAGTACGATGTGGCAGACTCGGATTACGAATATGACTACAATCCCAGACAGAGGAAAAGTCGTCTGAACTACTTGGAAGACGAGATACAGTGCCTGGAGGAGACCCTGGCCAAGAGGAGGGCAGAGTTGAGGGAGGCAGACAGACTGCTACAGGAGTGTCAGGGGGACTTGCAAGATGCTAGAAATCAGGTGAGGTGGATCCTTTCTGATCATTACCTCCTACAAAGAGGGTTAGGTTTTAATTGGTGTTCAAATAATGCTGTCAGAGGTGAAAATGCCAAGGTTTAAAAATATTTTCAATTTCTCCAGGCCAAGACCACCGTCCAGCAGTATGACCAGGCCAGAGAGGGCCTAACCACCACTGTCCAGCAAGCAGAGGAGATAGAGAGGAGGTCCAAAGAAGCTGGTGTCCAGCTGGTTCAGGCCCAGGATCAGATAGAGGACCTTCAGAAGGAGATCAGGCAACTGGATATGGAGAAGGCAAAGAAAGAGGCCACTCTGCAGGGTATCCTTAAGGTATGGGATATTTGTTTGTGGTCAGTGTATGTGTCAGCACAATTGCCTGCTTCCATTATTGGAAATTGAACAGGACATACTATTAAGGGTAAAAAGGTTGCCACTCTTCAAGATTTTGTCTTCTGTTAAACATTTAAATTGAAAAATTTTCTTTTCAGTTTTATTTGATTGCACATTTGTTTTGTATCATTTTATGTGCTTAAGTTATTTGTTTATTTATATTTAAACAAACTTCTGCCAGGTTATCTCTACAAAAGATGAAGAGTTTCGCAACTTGGATGAACAAGTGAAAGATTTGGAAGAGAGGTATCTTGAACAAGTATAATTTTTAAGTAAAATTAATTTAAAAACAAATGGACACTTCCCATTAAGTCCCTATTGATTAAGATACACAGCATGCCAGAAATCATAAATGAAAGGCATTTTGTCTATAATTGCCATGCGTGTCTTAGGTTTTCAGCGATAGATTGGATGCTAAAGAAAGTTTTTATTTTCAGGCTGGATCAAGTGGAGGGTGAGCTAGGTCTGGCAGAGGAGAGAGAGAAAGAGACTCTGGCCAGTCTCAAAGACTGCGAAACTTTGCTAGAAAATAGAAGAACAGAGCTTGGAAAGATCAAATCACAGGTAAAATAAAGTACTGAAACTTTTATGGTATGCAGAAAAATATGTATGTTTTAAAGATTATAAAATTCATACAAAACAATACAAACAGAACAGGTAAAAATTAATTTTAAAGTAAAGGGGTTAATGGCAGTTTTTATATTTAGTCTATATACTTGCTCTACTTTAAGTCTGCATTTTCCAATTTTTTCACCTAGATTGTCACTGAGTGGACACAAGACGGTAATTTGATACAGAAGTTGCTATTTAGTATGTCTTTTATTTATTTGTTTGGTTGTTTATTCATTTGTGTCACTTATTTTTATCTAGATTGACTCTGAGAGGACACAACTTGAGAACTTAGACCACCAGGTGGGCAGGAGAAGCACAGAACTTCAGCTGGTGGAGGAGAGCCTGGCCAGGAAGCAAGGAGAACTCAACAAACTGATGAGAGAGGCAGAGACCGAGGCTAGTAATAGACACAAGGAAATACAGGTAACATTCAGTCATCACTTTATTTAGCCTTTTCTCTCGTAGCATAGTGGTATGAATATATCATCAAATGTGTAAGGTAAGCTAAAAAAAAAGAGACAAAGAAAAGCATAGCATTTTTGCATAATTTATATTTGATTAGGGAAGAAAATGTCTTTTACAAATTCGCTGGAGTAAAAACATGGAATGTATTGCATAGATTTCATCTACATATTCTCAGAATTTAATAAATTCTCATGCTATAAATATCCTGTTAAAGAAAATTATGACATAGTTGATAAGGATCCATTTTACACCAGGTACATGTAGGTGTAATATGTGAATACATTAACTGAGAACATTTCTGCAGAGGTGAAAGATTGAGATATATAAGTAAAAATAATTTTTAAAACTTTACTTCAGGAGTTACGTCTGACATCACAGGAGTTACAAACACAGCAGCGCACTCTACAGGCAGATATTGCTGACAAGCAGGACCAGTTGCAAGCCATAAAGGAAGATATCCAGCAAAATGAGGAGAGCCTGCAGATCTTGACCTCCACGGTCAGCAAGAGTCGTGCCGAGCTGAAACATGTAGTGGACATGGTCAAGATGGAGAAATCGGAGCTTGACCAGGTCAGAGAGCAACATGGAGCCAAGCTTAAGGAACTGGAGAGGACGCAGATTGCTCTCAGGGAGGTGAGTTCATATCGAATCATATGACTGTCTCTCCTTAAAGAAATTGTAGGATTTAGGCTAAGAGAAGTCATCAAAAAGAACATGTTATTAATGAATGTGTCACCAGATATGTTTTTATGAATGGGAAATTTAGTGAATTTCTCAGTAATACTATTCAGTTTCCATCACTTAATGAGAGAACTGTTATGTTCACCTGTATTGAAGTATATTTTTACATTTTGGTGGCTTACAAATGTTGTTGTCAAAGTCCCTGAAGTTTGTAAAAATTGCCATTTTACCAAAACCCTAATCCAAGAGGCAGCACAGTTATCAAGGACCACTACAAGTCACAAATAAATAATAACTAAAAAGTAGCAGGAGCAACAGTTTGAAATAAGTACTAAAGCTCACACTGATATACTATCCATAAGTATTTAGTCCTCAGTATTAAAAATAATCAATATTAATATCTTTAGGAAAAAGAAGACTTGGAATACATGCAAGGAGAAACTGGCAAGAAGCAAGTGGAATGCGAGAGGTTAAAACAGACCTTAGAGACTCAGAGAGAGACCACAGAAAGCCTGAAGTTGGAAAAAGAACTTTTGGAGGACAGCATTAACACCCTCGCCAAGGAGAAAGACCTCATACAGGAGAGCTACAAGTCATATGATGATAAGGTTAATCAACTGAAAAGGTAAAATCTGTCTGTTCTTTGCCTTTTTCAGTAAATTTCATGAGCAAAAATTTCAAGAGCATTTCTATTAGAGCTAACGGTACTCATGGTTTAAGTCCTGGTCCATCTCATAATAGTTTGTGGACACCTTTGTCGATACTAAATATGTAGGTTATGCAGGTTATAACTTCTAAATACTTGGGTGTAAGGCTATGTTTGTATCATTATATTATTGTTTATACTTATGTCATCATTACAGCTGCGCCCCCGAAAAACAACTTCCACATGCACCAAAAATAGTTTTATCTGTCAGCAAGACATATTTTGAATGAGCACAATACAAGTTTCATTTTATTCTTCTTTTTGTATAAATATGACAGTAAATTAAATCAGAATATTATTATTATGATTATTAATATCATTATTATCTAAAGTAAACTGAGATGCAACTTGCTTGTACATGCTGTTTACCTAATTAAATTCTTAATTTTAGTTTAAACTATTCTGGGCCAGGTTGGCTATTGGGGTGTGAGAAACGATCTTTGTTATAAAATATTTCTTATTTTTGCAATACTAAGCAGTAAAGTGAATATGTCCTCTTATTTTTTTAATAATTTATTTAATTATTTAGCCCTTTTCTTTCTTTTTGAAGTTTTTTTATGGTCTGATGGACGTGATAAATCATAAAGTGGCCAGTGCATGACATTAATTCATTGAGCACTAGAAAATAAAATTCCGTGACTTCTGCAATGGACAGGTTAAAAATGTTGAATTCCTTCAAGTGAAAGTCAGTAAGAGTTGAAATTGTTGAATTCTTTCAAGTGAAAGGTAATTAGTGTTTGTGGCCATATCACTTAGTCTGGTTGATTTTCATTGGTATCTGATTGCATAAAACGTGACGACAGGACAATTAAGTAGAGACAAATACCTCCCACAGGGGATTGGCTCATGCTGGTTACATTTAGAAATAATGAGTACCTAAGGTTCTACTGAAAGTACCATGGGTTCAGACTAAAAATACCAATTTTCTGCCATGATGTACATTTTACTTACTCGTTGTGTACTGCAAACTCCTTATGTGTCCTTATATATTATCAAGATCAAAACAAATCAAAATTGGGGTTCCCCTGAACTTATTATTACTTGATTTGGTGTTAATTAGTGAACTTTTAGCAAGGATACCTTTTATTTCTTAGGTGAAAATGATGGTAAATCTGTTATCACATATTGTGTAATAAAGTGTCAAAAATAGAAATGAACTTGATCATTGCAGTTTATCAGATCCAATCAGTCACTATGTTCAGAATGGAGCAAATTAGACATTTAAAATTGAGCTATTGTATTCTTTCCCATCTTGACAATTTTCTTAGTTCATCATATCAAAATGACAGTAAATTATTATTTGGTTTTATGTTAAAAAGTGTTGAAAATGAAAATAAACTCATTTCAGGACAGTTATCTTTTGTTTACATTTTGGCATTTTCAAGGTGTGACTTTTGAAGCTCCATGGGCCTGAAGACATTTTCTAAATATCCATGTTACCTACAGTGCATAATTAAAGATTGTGATAATGCTGTTAAGCATTACGTATGTAATATTGCATCTAAATTGAAGAAAACACTATTTTGGGCACTGCTGCCATAGTGACCATTAAAGGAAAACCATGTCACATGCTCTTCTTAAACTTACAGGAAAAGAAACATGGGAAAAAAGATTCAGTTGAAAAACACAGTTAAAAAACCAGTCTGATTGGTTAATTTTTTTGATAGTTATAGTTTTTTTGTGAAAATTTAACTTTTAAATGGCATTTTCAAGGTGTGGCTTTGAACCATGTTTTGTTTATAAAATGTTAACTAAACAGTTCTTCAAATTCTATCCCATCAGTTTGGTATGAAATATAAATGGAATATGTATTCTTCAGAGCACATCTGCAACTTGAAGACGGCATTCTTGCTGGACAGAGAAAGCAAGAAAGGTTAGAGACTCAACTGAAGGAGATTGAGAAGGAGGTTACCGAGGCAACAGCTGATAAAGAGGCTCTGGAACGGGATTTAAAGACCTACACTCAGCATATTAAAGGTGAATATGTGTCAGTTGGTTTATCATTTGTTTCATTTAAGATTAAAGCAATTCTCTTTTTTTTTTTTTTTTTTTGCAAATTTTCTTTGGAGTATTACAGAAAAATTGCTAATTTTAAAGTGAAATACTATCAAATGAAATTTTCTTTCATATTTTTAGGTAAAAAATCTGAATTAAAAGGGTTGAAAGAAAACCTGAACGAAACTGAGCAGAAGAAAGAACAAATGGAAAAGGTAATTTACCCAAAGAACATGTTAAATTTTGATTCTACAAATGTAAATTTGCCCAAGAAATTGATTTTTTTGGTTGTATTAATAAGTCAGTTCGGAATCCATATTTCAGACGGGCGGATTTAGGCCATCTTCTGTGTCTTCCGGAAGACGGTCAGATTTTTAAGTTTACATTGTCCAGCATCTAATGTTTTCTGTCGGAAGACGGTAAAAATTGGAGGATGGATCAACAAAGATAATTTGGAAGACTGTCAGAAAATACCTTTGGATCCGCCCCTGTCAGAGAAGTTAGCAATCAATCACTAGACAACCGCATGATATTCAACCATTCATTGTATTAAAGGGGAAGCTTGTCATGTATGGATAGAAATGGAGTCATAAGTGAAAAACATTACCATCTTGTTTGTGATTATTTTCCCATCCAGCAATTGAAGGAGACCAGAATGGCCACAGATGGTGCTCTGGTGGAGTTGCAGCGTGTCCAGGACTCAATACGTCAATCTGAGCAGACACAGGAAGAATGCTTCAAACAGCAGACACAGAAGCAGGACCTTATACGCCATCTGGTGACAGAGGTAGAAGAAAAGGAGGCGGAGCATCAACGTATGCAGCAGGTACTGTATTTCATTTTTCTGATTATTGAATTACATATGTATAAAACTAAAAAAATGTTGACTAGCTGTGAGAATAGTAAAAAATAGTGAAATTTAATCTCAAAAAAAATTCTTTGTGGTACACTAAGTTGAACTTTCACAGCTATGAATGGAAAGTTATGAAAGGTCTTAGTACTACTGATTATATCTGCAGTAACTGACCCGGCCCGCACAGTCAATCAACATATTCTGATCATCTGATAGTATTTCATTTAAACTCCTCAACAAAATTTTAGTTCACAAAATGCAAACAAAGTAATTGAGTTAATACTCATAATATGTGATCCTTGAATAGTTTCTGATTCAAAATGATTTTTTCTCTGTTTTCATTTTAGGTTCTCCATAGAGTGAAAAAGGAACTTGAGAGAGAAGAAACTAAGTTAAGCAGAGTAAGCATCTCCCTTGGCTTGTGTGTCAGTGTGCACGACAGGTGTGTGTGTGTGTGTGTGTGCATGCATGAGAGAGAGAGAGAGAGAGAGAGAGAGAGAGAGAGATTAAGTTTTAGTCATCTCATTTTTTCTCTATGTTACAACCCATTGCTACCTCACCTTAATTGGTAGGATTTTCCCCACCTTTTTATGTACAGACACAGATGTGTCTGTACATATAGCCATCATCTGCGTCTGTCGTCGCCGTCGTGCACTTTTACCGATAACACGATAAGTGGAACACCATTTTTGCTTTTGGCTTGAAACTTACAGAACTGGTGAATATTCCTAATACGCAGGTCAAGTTCGAAAATCAGCATGATCGGGCCATTTTTAGGGAAGTTATGCTGTTTTTTCACTTTTTTCAGCATATATGCAGCACCGATAACACGATAAGTGGAAAACCATTTTACTCTTTGGCTTGAAACTTACAAAACTGATGAATATTCATAATCCGCAGGTCAAGTTCGAAAATCAGCATGATCGGGACATTTTTAGGGAAGTTACGCTGTTTTTTCACTTTTCTCAGCATATGTGCAACACCGATAACATGATAAGTGAAATAACATTTTACCTTTTGGCTTGAAACTAACAGAACTGATGGATATTCATAATACGCAGGTCAAGTTCGAAAATCAGCATGATCGGGCCTTTATTTTAGAAGTTATGCTGTTTTTTCACATTTCCTCAGATTCAATTATTAGGCATGTTAACAGTCTCATTATTTAACTAATAAGATACGTAAAAGTGTTTGTTTGATATTTCCTGCATCTTTACAACATTGTTAATTGATTGTGTAAAAATGATGGTAAACTTGTTATCGTGTATTGTGTAATAAACTGTCAAAAA